TGGTTTCTTTGCACAGTACTAAGTTTCTGCATTGGGAAAATTTGACCATCCCACTTGTGAGTTGCCTTCAAAGTCTAAAATCTTCAACTCATTCAATCTTAACTCTTAAAGTTATGTATTACTCTTCTCTAGGAAGGTCGACATGAGAAGGGTGGGGATCCCTGTATACCTGTGGAAAAGATGATTGTTGACCTTGATCTTGGAGCTGGCCTTGAAGTCATCTGGGAGCAACATCACAGGGGGAGGCACCTGGCTGAGCTCATTAATCTGATAAACCAAAACAAGAACAGAGAGGCAGTGAGCAGGGGTTGTGGAGAGCTTCTTATACTCTGTGTCTGAGCAAGAGTCAGAAAAGGGCACCTCAAGCCTCATACCTTTAAAACCACTGGTTATGCACATGCTTGACAAAGGTGAGTATATGTGTCTGAACTCTCCTGCTGCCCAACAAGAACTGCAGTAAGCAACCCTCTCACATGGCCCCTTACACTCCCACCCCCGTGGAACTTCATGCTCATAACGGTCATTTTATATTAGGCAAGCCCTGTAAGCAACTTAGGACTATTTTTAAAGCTGTGCGAAATTCTAGAGAAAAAAAATACCCTCAGCAGACTCAAGACACTCAAGACAAACAGTTCTATACTCCATTAAAAACAAAACAAAAGGTATTTTAAAAGTACACAGGAGTTAGTGGGACTCTGAGGGTCAACAGCAGCAATAGTGAAATGTCCACATCCTACTGGAGGCACCTCCTGACACACAGAACCAGTCCTTCGAGACTAGCCTGACCCAGTTCTCCACAGTAAGCCCCCACCTGCCCAGGTGAAGGTAAAAAAAGAGCAGTGGATTTCAGAGGGAATGCAGGCCAGATGAGGATATGAGCTCATTAGACATCTGTTCACTAGAATCAAGCCAAACCACAGCCCAAAGGATGCAAGCACCACACACTCTCCTCATCCCCCAGAACCCACAGTCTGCTAACTCAGGGTGGACGGGGAGATTCCTGCACTAAGAAATCCCGAGATGTGCTTTCTCCCTGGTGTGACCAGAGTGTCTTTCTCTCACCTTCCACAGTGCACTGACCATATGGCTGTAATCACTAGTTTATGTAAGTTCCCCACCTAGAATGTGAGCTCTTCAAGGGCAAGGACTAGATCTAGTCATCTGCATCTCTCAAGTGCCTAGATAGCACAATGTATTCTGTGTTTATCAATGGAATAAATGGATGCTTTGCCTCTCCTTACTTGATCATTTGACAGAGGTTATGAAGTGCAGTCTAACCTAAATCCCACATGTAGCAATGAAACCCAGCTCCTCTCATTCTCACCAAAAAGGAGGACAGAACATATTCCTCTAGGAAAAAAAAAGCCACTTGAGATTCTCAGCCTAAAATTCAGCTACAGTTCTTCATGCCCCCTCCTTGCCACCTGCTGTTAAGCAGGCTGAATCATCACTAAGACATATGTTAAAGGAATTTCTCCAGACACTTCAAGTAAATGTGTGTTAGCTGGAAGATGGGGTATTGGGGCTAAAGTACATATTCTTAGGGCAGCTGAAGCAGGTCTCATGTGTAATGCCCTCAATCCTGAACAAAGGAAAAATCCACCTTGTTAAGCCTCCCAAGGGGATGGATGAGTCACCTGGAAGTTACATATGAAAGGCAGCCTTATCTCTATCAGCTGGCCCATACCAAGTGCCTTAGACTGGATATTCGCTGATAAGACACTACTCAGGGAGCTGGGAGCAGTCCACAGAGCCACAGATGCAAAAGGGAGATAACCAAACCCAAATGATATTCTAAACCACAATTTAAGAATGTGACAAAAATTACATTCTTCCTCACCACCTTCAAGGAAGTTGACTTACAAAAAATTGCCTGTCACATTCAAGGTTACTGCATCCCTCCCACTCCAGAGCTGAGGAAGGGCATTGGCTGTGCTTCCTTCACCTAAGGTATCCTCAGGAAAGGAGATGCACTGGCCTCTTTGTCCTCCTCCTGATTCCCAGGCCATAACCTCCACAGCAGTTCCCTGTTCCTAAAGTTCACCACCATCGCCTCCCCAGGACCAGAGCTCCTCAGGCATTTCTTTGGTCAAAGATCCCCAGCAATGGGGATGCAGTTAAGAATCAAAGGCATATGTACACAAGTCCTGAGAGAGTGCAACCCTAGGTTTAGAGTAGGGTAGCTTCTCTGAAATGCTGTACCTCTGGAAGGGAAAAGAAGGGAGAAGCAGAATTAGAAGGTCCCGGAAGCCTGGAGCTTCCCACAGAGCCAAGGTTTCAAAGTCAAAGACGACGTCTGGAAAGCAAGGTGGAAAGGGAAGTGAGCTATTCCTCTCGTCCAGCCACTCTCCCTGCACCCCTTCCACAAGCAATCTCTCCGGAGGCCTCACACCACCAACCCTGAAGAGCCACTCCCCTTAATGGCCTTCCCGCTGGAGCCTAGTCCTGGCCGGTCCCCGCAGCCCGAGGATGAGGCTGGGTCTAGCAGGGAGGAGGCCGAGTCCTGGATTTCAGGTGGGAAAGGCGGAACTAGAGTGGAGAAGTAAAGGGCGAGAAAAAAGTCTGCAATTCAAAAAAAAAAAAAAAAAACAGGAAAATCTAGAGCGAGAAGATATTCTGTGGGGACAACTGAGGTTGGTGCGCAGGGGCCAGGGCAGCCCGGAGAAAGAGCGGCAGAGCGAGGGGCTCCGAGGGCGGGAGCCTGGAACCGGGGGTACCCAGATGCACAGGAGCGGAGGGTTCGGGCAGGGCGCCGGGGCTAGGACCGGGTCTCACCGAGTGGGCTACGCCCCACAGGAACACGCCCACCAGAGGATCGGCTGCCCGGAACACCTTCACCTTCTGCTGCACGAAATGCTTCTTCTTGGTTTTGGAGGCGAAGCCGAAACTCGAGCCTGGGGCCGCTGTCGCCGCCGGGACGGTGGCCGACGGGACCGAAGAGGACGCCATGGTTTCCCGCGACCCCGACTAAGTGAATGCCGGTGGCCGCGACGCGGGCTTCCGACCCCGGAAGCGCTGCTCACCTGCGCCGGCGTCAGGGGCGTCATAGAGGCTGGCCCGCGGGCGGGGCGCGGCGGACTAGCTCCGCCCCTCAGCGACCGCCCGCCGCCACGTCGCCGCGCGGTGGGTGGGCACACCTGGCGGAGGGGCGGACCCGGGAAACAGTCCCTGGCGGGCAGCTAGCGGCTCGAGCACCGGGCCAGTCCTCCGGCGACTGGATGCGGCTGGGCTGAATCACTACTGGGTTGGGGGCTTCTTGGCTGCAAAGTCGTGGCCTTCCGGTTTTGCCCAGTTAGTAAGAGTAACTCCCGCTTGTGACTAAGCCGAAAGCATTTTTTTTACGAAGTAGGAGATCCCTTACGTGGTTCAGATGTATTAGATGTGCTTTTTAGAAGGACCACTCATGCATCATTCTGGAGGGTGCCTGGAATGTTCCAAAGTCTAGGCACGAGATGACAAACTGAAACAGTGGCTGTTGGGGTGGAAAGAAGAATACGGCATCTAAAGATATAATTTGAGGTCAATTTGGAAAATTCTTAGTGGATGTGGGGTTTTGAAGGAAAGGGAGACATTGAGAATGAATCCCAGGCTCCTGGCTAAGGTGAAGAGAGATGACATGAAGCAGTTTTGGTGAAAAGATGAGTTCATTTTGGAACACGTTCGAAGCACCTGAGGGCAACTGGACATACATGGGCCCAGAGCTCAGCATCATGACCTGAGCAGGGGATAGAGATTTAATTGCTGTGGAAACTCTGGGTGTGGATGACATCTCCCAGACGGAGGTTTTTTTAAGGGGCTGGGGGGAGAAGACTGAGAAAGGAAAGCCAGAGAAGTAAAACGACCCTTAAGAGCGGGGCCACAGAAGACAAGGGATTCAGATTTCAAGAAGGAAGAAGTACAGAGCAGTGTCAAATGTCCTGGAGAGGTGGAGCAGGACAAGGATGAAGTATCCATCATATCTGCAACTAGTCACCTTTAGAAAGCAGTTTCAGCAGAACAAGAGCCAGATCAAGGTGCGCTGGAGAATGAATGGGAAGTGAGGACGCAGTGAGACGAAGCTTCGGACTTTTTCAATAAAATTGGTTTTAAGAAAACAAGATGGGGAGTCACTTATAGAGAAATAAAATAAAACACACTTTTAAAGGAGACCTTAACAAGGGAGGAAGAAATCATGAGACAGAAGTTAACAAAGATGCAAACTGCCCAAGTCTGCATTGCTTCTAGTTATTTTATGTAGTGAGTCTGCATATCTCAAGAATGAAGGCTCTAGAAGAGACTCGCTTTGGTACTGAGAAGTGAATTTTATCAGTGCGAGGAAGGAAAGGATCTGTACACACAGGTGAGTTTGTAGGTGTAGGGGAGAGATGAAGAATTTCCTGCTCAATCGTCTTCCTTTGTCCTTAAAAGCAGAGTTGTTGCCTAAGGAGGAGAGTGAGAAGGAATCTTGAGGAGGGAGGGTTTAGAGCAGTTGCTCAGGGGTGGGGCTGGGGACGGAGGATAGGAAACTGAACAGGGGTACACAGAAGGAACCTTAAGCAAAGACCCAGTTAAGTTTTGTAGCCTTTTTGGTTGCCCATGCTTGGGTTGTGCATTTTTCTCCATTCCTCTCAGAAGCTGTGAGGGATGAGCAGAGAAGACAGGTAGGGGTATGCCCTAAAAATGGGGGTTAGATAGGTGATTGTGGTAGAGGATGGTGGGATAAGAGAATTAAACTGTTAGCAAGAGAGAGCTGGAGCCACACTGGAGAAGGACAGAACTGATGCCAGAACAGAGGTGAGAGTGAGGGGAAATAATGAAGAGAACAGGATATCAAAATTACATATTTTAATGAGCTAAATCTACATATATTGACATGAAAAGATCTTCATGATATATTGTCATTGGGGGAAAAAAACCCTATGTGTGAATACAGAGAAAATATCTGGAAGGATATATACCACACATCAGATGCAGCGAAGCGAGTGAGATAGGGAAGGGAACAAAGATTTACACCACCACAGTCATCATTTAATTTATTTTATTTTAAAGGTATTTATATACACCAAATAAATACACACTGGGGTTTGTGCAGTTTGGTTTGTCTTCCACGCTGGCATGCAACATTTTGGCAGATGTGAGTGGGCAGGCCAGGTGCCCCTGGCTCTGAAAGGGCCTTGGTGAGGGGTGGGGATGGGGGAAGAGGAGTGAAGCATCTGGTAACGGCTCTGTGTGTGTGTTCTTATTTATGTAAGTGAATTATATTTCCCTTACATCTTGCTGAAGAGAAAGCTGTTCCTTCTGTCACCTCTCTCCTCATCTGCCCTACACCTTCACATTTTCTTATGTGTTTTAAAAGAATCATTTGGTGGCAAGATTACATAAAGCCCACTGCATTCTTAGGTGCCCTGCTGGCAAATATTAGCACAAGTCTACAGCAGAACAGGTATCTGTCTTCCTCTCTGACTGGGTCTGAAGATGGTCTGGTTAGGCTACCCACCATTTCCCATTTCACTAGGAGTAGTGGGCTTGGGGCAGGGGCAAAGGGATTGAATGCCTTTCCTTGGGGCAGTGGTTTTCAAACTGCTCTCTGGAACCCACAGGTTCTGAACTCTTAGGACTGTTCAAAGGCTCCTCAAATAATGGAGCATTTTCCACCAAATAAAGAAAATGCAAACCGCCCAGGTCACTTTAAGTGATTTTTTATATATATCAGGGTTCTGTGTAAGATTTATTTTGAAAAATATTTGACTATCACCGCCTTGGAATATCAGCGCACACACCCCTTCAGGTATGTTTTTCCCTGTATTTCTCTTTAATTGCTAAAAGGGGCCCAACAGGTAAAGGGAGAAGGGACTTTTTCTCTTGAAGGAGTCATGGGCCAGTACAGCCTGTGTTTACCAGCTGACACAATGAGCTTTCCTTCCGGACTTGGAAGCTAGGTGATGGTTACCCTGCTGCTGAGGGATCCTGTTCTTCCATCTTGGATAAGACTGGGTATCTGGCCCAGTCTTTCCTTCTTGACTTTGCTGGCTTGTGACCTCCACTCTCCATCCCTGCAGTTACCTGGAAAACCACCTTAGCACCATTTGGAAGGAAGGGATGTCTAAAACCAAAACAATAGTCCCATCAATTACATGGGGTGAGGGGTGCTGGGAGAGGAGCCCCCCTGGGGAAGCCTGTGGGTTCCTTCACTTCTGGAAAATCTTCACTGCCCTGTCTTTAAAGTGCATTTAATGCCAGATAGGGACATTATGGAAGGAGTTCAAAAAAATTTTTTAATGTATATTTGGGAAAAGCCAGGCTTTAGCTTGAAAGGAGGTATATCTTGAGATAGATATTTTGCTAATGAACTGGAAGCCCCAAACCGAAAGGTGGAAATGAGAAGAACACGCAACCCAATATAGGACAGAGAAAGGGATCCAGCTCATCACTGTGTCAGAAAAACTTAGGAATTTCTCAGCTTGTTCACCCCACACCTAAAGAAGCTTTCATTTGACCACATTTGCCTAGTAACTATCACCATGGACAGACGAGCAACCATTTGACAGACTGTTGGAAGGATCTGCCTCCTCAATTTTTCCAAATATTTCAAATATTCTAAAGTAGCTCTAGGTTCTGGTCATGAGCTCGGGGGTACAGAATATCAAAAGGCATATTGATGAGGAAAAGAAATGGTTCCTTGAGCAATCCAGGTTCGCAGTCATCCAGGGGGAACAGGAAGAGAGAGGCAAAAGGCAGACTATGGAGGGCAGAGGGTCACACCTGGAATCCCCCAGTTTGGGTGAGGGGTATATAAAGAAAATTCTAGTATAATTTAGCAGTCCTCCCAGTTTACCCAACTCTGTGTTGTGTGGGAAAGAAGAAGGAGGAACAGTCTATTTCTGTATCTTCTTATGATGCTAAGACATGCTTCTGCTTAAGGCTCTGTGTGTGTGTGCATGTGTGTATGAGTGTGTGAATGAGAAGGATCACAGCCCTCTTGCTCCTGTTTTCCCTTTTATCATCTCCGTGACTAACACCACTCAGTGTGAAGACACGTGTATGAGAGAAAGAAGAAACACTCACCCTCCTCCTATTTCCCCAAATGAGGAGGGAATACTATGCTTAGAAATTGCTAAATACATCTTCAGATATTTAGAGAATAAGACAGAGAGAAGAGAGAGACATAGCAGCAGCTTCTGATATATAGGTTCAGAATACAATGAAATACAGAGGACAAGAAGACATCAAACAGTACGTTCAACAAGGGTCAGGGGGAGTTAGTATCAGAGACCACAGGTTTGCAGCATGCTGAGAGAAGAGGCCTCAGTCCCTCTTAGAAACTGGGGAAGAAAGAGAAACAGGTTGTGAGGAACACCCCTGCAGTCCAGCCACTGAACAGGAACAGGGTGGCACTTGTGCCAACTTTGGTTTACAGCCCTGTTCCTTTAAGAACAACCACCGGACACCACCCTTCCAGTCTCTGCTCCTCCACCCTACACCTTCCCTAAGTCTTCTTTACCCATCCCTCCTTCTTGGCTTCTTGTGCCTGTCTTTCTGCCTGTATGTGCCTAGCCCAACACCCTGAAAAACCCCTAGAGAGGGCTTGGCTTAGGCACAGACCAGTGAGAGACTGGCCATGTTCTGTCATTTCTAGTTCTCCAAGGATCCAACGTGGCCAAAAAACAGGGTCCCAGGGGCCAGTTCTGGTCTGTCAAGCAACCATGCAGATGATACCCAAGGACCAGGAAGGTGCCTGTGCTGCTAGAGGAAAAGACTGGGGACAGAGGTGGAGAAGAGGGGCCTTGGCAGTGGGGACACAAATGTCCTCCTCCACTGAGCAAGATGGAAGGGGAGTGCTAACAAGGCAGCTAGAGAGACAGAAAGTTAGGCCTCCTGGGATATGTTATAAAGCTGACTGCTGACACACTGATATGGAGAGTATAGGATCCAGGTGCAGGAATAAAACATCCCCTTGCCTGGAGATATCCTAGTTCAGTAAATACCTATCCTTCTACAATTACTTTAGAGTGGAGGCAGAGGGAGGGTTGGGATGATCCTCCAAGGTCCCCAGGTATCCTCTACATTCTGTGACCCATGTGTGGCTCTAGATTGACACCACCTCGCGCACTTCTTTTGACAGGTGGCAGTGACCCCTAGTGGCAGAAAGGCAGTACTGTGCTTACTACTATGGGCAAAGAAGAAATAATGGGGCAGGGGGAGGTCAGTGTCCAGAGGACATGGGCTGGCAGGAATGCAGCCCCTGGCAGGGAAAGCAGGCGTGGCGGGACAACTATGCAGTAAAAGTTTTGAGATGATAAAACAGTGGGAGAAACAAAGAGGCTGAGGGCAAGAAAGGAGGCAATCTGAGGCTGGTCAGAGGACGCGGCTTGAAGCTACCTGAAAGTGCAGGTGCACAGCAGTCCTCTGCACGGGAGATTAGCTGGCAGCCGTCTCTTGGTGGAGAGGGAAAAGCTTGGCCTGGTCCTCAGCCTCATAGCCACACGGCAGGTCACTCCTGGGGGAAGAGAGCCAGCACAGTCACAGTGCCTCAGCTCCACATAAGGAGAGTTTGCCGCCACTTTGCTCTTTTCCTGCGTGATGATGAGGAGCAGGAACTATTCACATTGTACAGGAGTACAGGGAAACCAAGGCCGGAGACAAGCAGCTGACTTGTCCAAGGTCACAAAGTTCCCAAGGGTAGGAAGAGAAACCCAGGTCAGCGTGGGTTTGTGGCATTTCCCCCAACCCCCAGAACCAGTTCTGTGGAGAAGCCACAGAAGGGATTGGAGGGGATGGGTGCAGCACTGAGGCAGGGGAATTACTAGACCTCCTGGACAACACAGTGACAGCAGGAATGGTTTTCATGTTCTCCTCCTTCCCTGGAAGGCTCCAGGGAACTTTAAGCAGGGCAGGAGGGAAATTTGAGTCTCTTCTGGTACCACCCAGACAACCCAAGTTGTGGAGATGGATGTACCTATTGTCATTGATATCTGTGGCATTTCCTGTAGAGATCATTGTTGAGAACACAGGTTTAGAAGAAGAAAAAAGATGGCGTTAGAAACAGTCTCCTCAAACCCTCTCTCACCCTTACCCCTTATAGAAAAGGACAACTTTTTGGAGCACAGCTGCTGCGTGGGTCTACGGCACTCTATCTTCAGCTACCCCAAGCTACATGGTTCTTTGAGAAGCAGCATCCCTGGCCCCACATGCAGAACAGGAGGAGGGGAAAGGAAGGGAAGGGTGGGGACAGGCATGGAAACAGGAGGGATCTATTTCTAAAAGTCCATGACCCTGAAGGGATGGGTGGTGTTCAAGTTGTAAGTACAGGTCACTTACTTTGCTTATACTTTTCAAAACTGCCATGGGATCCCCAGGGCTGGCTCCCCGTCATCTTCACTTACCATTGTCCATGTTGGCCTTCTGATAGGAAGCCAAGGGGCCGCCAGAAGATGTGGCCCCACTGCTGGTACAGGAGTTTGCAAAACTGGATGGAGCAGAGAGAGTGGCAGCCTTGGGTACTCACCTCCACTATTCTGAGGACCACTAATCCATGCTTGCCCTCAGGGATGGAGCCATATATCCTCCCATCCCCAGAGAATAGAAGACTGTTAACAAACGTGGGTTACAGGCTGGGAGGACTTTTAGTCATAGGTGTGAATTGAGAAAGGGTTAGAAATGAAGCCACTTAGGAAAAGAATTAAGTCTCACCCAATAAGTGACCCAACCGTATGTCTTATAGGGAGCAGAGAGCCTTGCATTGGGATGGGACCACAGCCCATGCCCATGGCCACTCACTACATATCTGGGGTAGAGCTTGGTGCAGCCTGCAGGTACAAATTCTGGTAGTTCTGGAAGAGGCTGTTGGTGTAACTGATGCACTCAGGACTCCGGGTGCCGTAGGGGTTGGTGGGTGAGGACGCTGGGTAGTGGCCAGGCCGGACAGGTTTGGCTGTGGTAAAGAAAGGAAACCAACCCTGAGGAGGTTATTTGTTACCCTGGTCCCTGAGGTCAGTTAGCTGGAGCTGAACTGAGTTGCTTACATATTTTCCTACGGTGGTGGTAGGGTGAGGTGAATGGGGAGGTGGGTTAAGAACCGGTAGTCTAGTTGCTTGGCACTCAGGAGCTTGCCGAACTCCCCCAGGTGGTAATCCCACCCTGCCTGCTGCCAGCCACTCCCCACTCACCGATCTGGGCAGAATGGCCCCGCTTGCCCGAGCTCTTGTACCGCACAGCCTCCTTGATGCGGTCCACCTCCTGCTGGTACCGGCGCTTGTCCTTCATGGCACCCTCCTTGGCCTCCTTCAGTGCACCCTCCAGGGCCTTAACTCTCTCAGCCGTAGCCCTAAGTCGTTTTTCCAATTTAGGAAGCTCACAACGCAGATCTGCATTGTCACGTACCAGCTGTGGGGGAAGCCCGAGGAGAGAGGCCAAGAAAACGAGAGCAACCGGAGAAAGCCAATGGAGTGTGGGAGTATGGGGTGGGGAGAGAGAACAAAGGAAAACCAAGTCAGGGAATACAGAGACCATGCTGTTTTCTTGAGGCCTCATTCCCTTTTCCTAATTGCTCCTCTGGCCAGTTCTTTTCTTCTCCGTGAGGGAACAGTAGCCAGGCATTAAAAAGTCACATCATAATGTATAGCATAAGGAATATAGTCAAAATATTGTAACAACTTGGTATGGTGATAGCTAGTACCTAGAATTACCATGTATATAAATGTTGAATCACTGTGTTGTACACCTGAAACTAATGTAATATTGTGTGTCAACTACCCTTCAATAAAAAATAATTATCTAAAAAAAAAAAAGAAAAAAAACCCCAAATAAACATGGAATAAAAGGCTCAAAGGTTATAAACTAAAATGTTAACAGTGGTTATGGATAGTCAGAATCAGAAGTGACTTGAAAGCTTTTAAATATTTTTCTGTACTTCCTAAATTTTGCATATTGCCCCTTTATATAATAAAAATATTACAACAACAAAAAAGTCACATCATTTCCTGTGTAGCAAAATGTGCTGACTCTACAGAAGCCCGAAAGCCTTATTACAGTGCCCTGTCCCAGTCTTCTGGCCTAGACTCTCCAACAGCTCACAGCTTGTGTCAAACCAAGAGCCCCAGGGCAGCCATGCAGATGAGGCACCCCCACACCGAGGTGGCCTTGTGGGCAGGAACACAGCAGTGGGCTGGAGGGAGGCTGTGGTACCGAGTGCCAGTTAGGTGCAGTGCAGAGCAAGAGCTGAAGCTAGAATATAGAAGCCCCCGCCTCTGCCCCCACCCACACTCACAGTCAGGGCATCCATAAGAAGGAAAGAAAATGTTGCGTTCTCACAAACATTTGTGCTCATTGCCTGCATATTCAAGGATTTCCTGGGCTGTCCTCCCCATTTAAATTAAGCTAGAGAAGGGTAGCAACTACCCTACAGTCAGAAAAGCCTTCCTGATCTTTTCACGGGGTTTCACTCAACGCCTAGGGGTACCTCGACTGCAAAAGGAGTCAGACTTGAAAGATACCAGGCAAATCAGTGTCACAAGGAATACTGGGAGAAAGGGTAGAGCAGAAACGCTCCCATGCCCCTTTGATTTTGGACAATTTACAGATTATAAACACTGGTTTTCTATGACAATAACCTAGCTTAATTAGTAATAGAGTTGTAGCCCTGGCTGTTAAGATTTTATTAACTGAGAAGTTTCTACATCTCTCTCATTTCTCTTTCTAGTATTTTGTCTGCTGAGATAGGAAATTATGAGGAGTCCTCCATCCTACAGGTGAGTACTTTTTGGTCTTTGGGACTTAGAATCAAAGAGGCAGAGGCTTCAACAAGGGAAGAGGGAACAGCTTACAGTTTCCTGACGTATACCACAATATTGATGAACCTAGAGGACATCGGGCTAAGTGAAACAAACCCATTACAAAAGGACAAATAATGTACAATTCCACTTATCTGAGGTATTTAAAGTAGTCAAAATCACAGAGAAATTAGAATGGGATTGCCAGGGCCTGGGGGAAGGAGGGAATGGGGAGATAGTGATTCATGGGTAAAGAGACTGCAGCCTTACCAGATGAGAATTATGGGATAATGGATGATGGCGATGTTGCACAACATTACAAATGTATCTAATAACACTGAACTGTATGCTTAGAAATAATTAAGGTGCTAACTTTTATGTGTATTTTACCACAAAAAAATAATGGGGGGAAAAAGCAAGATGTTGCACATTTGAACACAGAAGGAAAGTGACCACACAGAAATGAAAGTAGAATGGCAATTGATTATAACTGTTTTTTCCCTGGCTTTCAACTTATCCTTAATGTTATTATACTGTTACACTGTTTTATAATAAGCACAGGGGAAAAGATGGTAATAAAGCCCTCTTCAGCCCAAATAAAATAAGTAAACTCTGCAGACTATCACTGGGCCACAGTTCTGGAATTTTTTTTTTCATCATAAAGAGAAAAAAAACAAGTTCTGCCAAGTATATACTATCTCTGCTGGGCATTGAACTGGGGAGAAAAGAAACTTAAGCTCTAGTTTAGCAAGAATATGAGTTCAAAGAATATTTTAAGGTGGACTTGAAAGGAAGGGAATGAAGTATAGGTTAGGGTTTATTTTACGAAGCAGTTCAAAGAGCTAGCTGACAAGACTGTTGCACCTGTCTTCAAGGCTCAGATATTTGGCACTAGTGAGGGCGCTCCTGCTTTATACTCACCAAACATCTCCTTTTCTGACTCCTTTGGACTGCCCCTCCACCTCCCTACCCCCTACCCTTGAAACCCAGTCATCCACCTAAGGAACCTCAGCAGCAAGAAGGGGACAGAGAAGCGGCAACTCAATACGCAAGAGTTTTGGCGGCCCCAACCAGGGCAGGACTGGGCCATCGGGAGGGCATCATTTAATTTCCATGCATGCCTGCCCCAGGCCTAGGCACATGGAGTAATCCTCATCAGAGAAAGCCTAACGTCCCTGGCCACTTCTTGTCCCGCTGCTTCCTAACCCTGGCTCAAGTCTGACCGGTGTTCCTGGTGCACAGCTACAGCTCCATGCCTCTGAAACCTCCATCAGTTTCAAACTCTCCCTCCAACTCCACAGGCCTGGGGCATTTCATGCTGAGCAGAGGCAGGCTGGGAACTCTGAGAAAGGGGAACAGGCATGGAACAAACAAGTAAAAGTGGAACCCAAGGTGGCATAAGGAAAGGATCAGGAGGAAAGGTAAAAGGAAAGAGGAAGCTGACTTCCCTAAATCCAAGGGACCCCCGAAGGCTAAGCATCTGGCCTTAAGAGTTCTCTTCTCCACCACCCCATACTTGTACCTGTTTGTGAACCTTTGTAAGCTGTTCCAGGTTGTTCTCAAGAAAGGAAATCTTCTGCTTTTGGGAGTGAATCCCCCCACTGTCCTCGGGCTCCATTTCTGCACTCTGCTTAAAGACAGAGGGAAAGATGTGGCTGTCCTGAGGCCAAACAGGGCCCACTGAGACCGGGCCAAGCCAAACCCACTGAAGGCCACTGGAGAGACCTGAGGATAGGAGAATCGGGGGCTGAGAAGACCCTGAGATGGCACTCACTTTCTTGACTCGAGTCGTGACGTCTTGAACGAACAGTTTGCGAAGGTTGTGCAGGGTCTGGAGTTCCCGGGCCTGGAAAGAATAATGGAAAATTGGGGGCAAATACCAGGTCAGCCTTCTGGCTCTGAAATTACTGGAACTGTCTGTCTACCTAGTCAAATAAGTCATTTATCCTTTGGAAAAGGACGAGTCCTGATTATGGCACAGACTGGTTTTGTATAAGGGCAGGGGGAATGAGGTTAGGAAGACATCAGGGGTGGGGGAATAAATGAAGTCCCCCCACGCCCTGTTAACTTGGCACAGAAGGAAACCACTCACAACTGTTTCCTCCAGGCCCTTGAGGTCCTGCTTGGACTGTTCATGTCGCTCGTACAGAAATCTGGAGGAAGAGGAAAACAGAAGACTCCCTCAGGACTCTCCTTCCTCCCTGTCTCCTCCCTCTCCATTCCTTTGAACTGTATTTTACTATTATTTACTGTACAAGTTACTCATGTTCACTATGCAGAAATTAGAAAACAAAAGATGAGTTTCACAAAAAGCCTGTGAATCTACCACTACAGTCAAACCATCAACATTCTAGTGTCCATCTTGCCAGAAACTTTCTTCTAGGCATGTATATCCCACAGAAATGTTATGGGGTCTTATCATTCACACCAGTTTGTAACCTGCTTTTTATACTTAAGAGACCGTCACAGACATTGTTCTGTGTCAGCTAATATTCAACAGAGGTCATTTCTGGAAGGCCCTGTCTTTTTCCTCCCCCATCCCGTCATATTAGTCTTTGGATGCACTTGCTTCCTGTGGTCACCATATTCACAGCGACCTTGCATCCTGCCCTGCGGGTGTGTCTGAGCCTGTGTGGCCCCAGGTTTGCAGGCGGCCTGTCACTCACGTCAGCTCCTGCAGTTTGATGCTCTTCTCGTGTTCCTCATTCTTCAGCTTCTCATGGTCAGCCTGAAGCTTCTCTAGCTCTAACTGGAGCTTCTGGTTCAGGCTGTGGAAGGCGAGCAGGTATGGAAGTGAAGAAAAAGAAAAGATGAGAAAAGGGAAGACCCACTCCTCAAACACTCTCCTTCCTGTACACATGAGCCCAATTAGGACCCAGATTTCCCATCGGATACCAGAGGCAGACTTGGGCCACTTTTTCCATGGCAGAATAAGGAACCCTGATCTATCTCATCCTGGAGCCTCAAGGATAGGAACTAGTCCTTACTCCCCATACCTCCTGCGGTTAGGCTGCAAGGTCCTGTCTTGTTGGGGGAGTGACACATGGCAGTGAAAGAACTGGATCCTGGGCCAAGAGGGAGCATGTGTGTGGGTGCAGCGAGGCGAGAACAGGGGCTGGAGCCACCTTAGGATGCTTACTCTTTGAGTTCATCAATGGTCTTTTGCTTCTCATTGATCTCGTCCCGGAGCCGGGCCAGCTGCCGGTGGTGGGCCTCACGGTGACTCTCCATCTGCAGCTCCAGGGCCTTCTGCCAACAACCCACCCCAAGCTCAGAACCAGGCTCCCAGACACCAGCTCACTGAGGGCCAGTGCAGCAGGCCCTGGCCACACCCCAGTCATCCCCACACCTTCCCCACTCGCCTTCACTTCATCGGCATCCTGTGTGTCTGGCTCCTTGTCCTTCAGGGCCACTTCATTCACAGTTTCTTAGGGAAAGAGGGAAGACAGCTTATATCATGCCTATATCTTCCAGAAAGAACTTAATATTGTGACCAGAGCTCCAGGCAGGGCAGGGGACATCTGCCCAGAAAGGGCCCTCAGGGATGTTCTTCTGGGTTGGGACAGGTCAATTTGACATAGCAGGGACAGAACAGTGGAGGGTTTATGGTTTACACACAATAAGCTATATGCAAAAGCCTGCTGAAGAGCCTGAAGCTGGCCTGCATTTCAGTCCAATGCACTGGGTGAGTGTGCTGTGGTGTTTCTTCTGATGTCTGAGCTTTCCTTCCCTGCCTGTTCTGGGGTCTCAGGTCCCAGGACGGTGCCTTGGAGGTTTAAGAAGGCCTCACCCTGGGCCTGGAGCCTGGCCAGCTCCTCACTCAGGGAGTCGTAGCACTCTTCCAGGTGCCGCTTCTTTAGCTCCACACCCTGCATGTACTCCGTCAGTGAGCGGATCTTGGCCTCATGCTGGTGGGGGAAGGGGCGGTAAGAGGAGCACATTGGCATGAAGGACACACTCCAGGCAGCACAGGCTTCTGCAAACCCCAGCTCTCCTCCCAGGCCTCCCCTCCTGCTCTGCCTGCCTGAAGAGGCAGGGGTCAGGGGTCACACCTCTTTAGGTCCCATGAGCTCAGAGGGCAGTACCCTCTGAATCTCCACTGCTCTAGTCTGGCCTCTCCCCTGCTCCCCCCAGCTCTTCTGCCCTGGAATTCAGCTGACCCGAGACCCTTGACATAAACATGGGCAAAAGGAAATTTATCCTATAAGCAGAGTCACCCTCTCTCCTCTCTCCCCACAGCATTCACCTGGGAGATAAGGAGCTGGCAGGATGAGAGCTCGCGCCCAGTCACTTCCATCTTGCGATGACATTCAACCTGGAGGTTCTCCAGTTGCCGGCACCGCTTGACCACAGACTTGACTTCTGATTTGATTTTGCTGATGTAGAGTCGGGCCACAGTGAACTCCTCCTCGATGGCGCCGCTGATTTCCACTGGCTGTGGGCAGGGAAAGGAGGGAACAGATACTTCTCTGCTTCAGGGAGCCTGTATCCACTCCCTTCCACTCAGCCTACCCCACCCCCCACACCCAACACACACACACACATACACGGCAACTTAGGGGCAACAACCGTATTTTTCTCAACAACTTTTAGCAGCTATCAGCTGGCATTTGATACTAAATCCCTCTAATGTGCGCTGAATGGTGCAATTCCAACAGTCACCCTCTTCTATCTGACAGCAATACGATTTTCTTTTGTAGTCAAAGTGATCTGCTTGATCAGCCAGATGGGTCACTGCCAACCTATAGATGTGCATATATCATTCCTGACTGTGCCCACCTCCAAATCCTGCTAATGCACATCTCCACTGCTTCCTTACTCAGCATCCTTTGGGAGGTATATTTTCAGTTGAGTCTATATAAAATACTGCTTGTTTTCCTATGTCTAGTTTGAAGGCTTGTTTCCCAGATCTTTGGCCCACCCCTCTCAGTCTCCCTGAGGGCCTGGATTGTCCTGCCTTGCATCTCCTATCCGTGCCCAGAATAAGAGCCACCTGAACAAGGCTTCTTCTCCACTCACCAGCTTAATCTCCCCGTTGCCCACGATGACACTGAACTCACTCAGGTCCTTCATCAGTCCATTCAGCACCTCAGCAATTCGTTTTCGCTGGTGTCCACTGACCTCCTGTAGCCGCTGCAGCTCAGACTCCAGAGACAGCATGGTGGCCTGCGGACAGCCCCTTGGGTCATCCCATTACCACCTTCCTGCCCTCCTCCCCAGCCCAGGCAGAGGCCTCTCCCTTTGTGCATGACCTTGAGTACTGCTATAAGCTCTATAGAAGCTACTGGAAGAGAGAGGGGTCAGGAGGGCAAAGGGCAGTGACAGGATGGGGGAAGGTCTCACATCATACTGAACAGCAGTGCAAAGCTGCAAACATGATGCAGCCCCTTCAGGAAGCAGAGGCCCCTTCGGACGTGGCTGACATTCAAAGGCAGGGAGCTCTTGGACGCCAAGTGGCCACTCACCACCTTCTGAGATAGCTCATCCACCAGAAGCTGGTTCTGCTGGCTCTTTTCCTCCACTTCCTGGGACTTCTGGTCATAGTTCACAGCTAGCTCCTCCAGGGCCTGCAGCACTTCCTTCACCTCATCTTTAGCAGCATCATTCTCTGACTGCAGGTGGCTCAGCTCCCGCTGGACCTTCTCATTGTCTCCTCGAGTGGATACCAGCAGCTTCAAGGGAGAGACAAGGCATATGTGAGGGAGTCTGCCACCAGTGGCCACCTCTGTGGCCCCGTGATCTGAGGAAGCTGAGCCCCCCACCCAGGCAGGGCTCCAGGAGAGAGACAAGGACCAAGGCAAGAGTCAAGAGGAAGGAGGCTTTAGGCTTCATAGAATTAGGGCAGCTGAGTGGAGAAGCACCTAGACTCCAAAACCTGTGCTTTAAGCAAAGCCCTAATTGAGTCCCCAGATTCCAGAGTTTTAGGGGGTGACTAACCCCAAGGAGAATGCCCTTTCTTCCAACTGATTGTAAAAGGTCTGCCTGATCCCTTCATGGGTGAAAACACACCCCCTCTTCCAGTGTCCTGCCCTCCTTTCCATTACCTCTTCTTGGTCCAGCATCTGATGCTTGAGCTTCTCTATAAGCTGACTCTGCTGGTTGATCTCATCATCCTGTTGGAGGCAGGGTGGGGAGTGAAGGAAAGCTGCCCCTTCCCCTCTAGACTGGAGGGGATGGGGTTGGGGTACAGCTAGGGTCCCAATAAAAATCCAGATAGTTTAGGCTTTGACTTAGAAACCCCATATCCTGAAAAAAGGTCTTTTCCTTGGCTTCTTTCCTCGACTCCTGCCCTCACTTTTAAATTCCTTTCTTCCCAGAAGTTGGTATAACCTTGACAATACATGGCAAAAGCCTTTAAATGTTCATATCCTTTCATCTATAAACCCTACCCTAGCACTGCGTTCTAATCAAATCATTCCAAAGCAAAGTCTTATATACAAGAGGCAAAGAGAGTCACCTCAGAGTTATTTGTAATGTGAAAACCAAATGATCAAAAGCAAAAACACTAGAAGCCTGGTAATAAATAAATGGCTAACTACATTTTGATAAACGGACTGTTAGGCAGCCATTTCAAAGTATTTTTAAGAAGTGCTGTTAACAAAGCAGGAAATTGCTCTTCATATAATGTGAATGATAAAAGTCAGATTCGAAGTCATATATATATATATAGTGTATCTCAATTGCATGGTATCTGCATGAAGAAAAGCAAAATGCTAATAGTGTCATTTCTGAATGGTGGCGTAATAGGTGATTTAAGTTTTCTTCTATATATTTGTGTTTATCTTCCATATTTCCAAATAGCATTTATACCTTTCAAACTCAGAAAAAGGCAGCAAAATCTACTTCTTTTATCCCTCACTCCTCACGCCTGGCTGGTCTCACCTTGTCATCGAGCTGCTTGTAGAGGCGGCGGATCTCCTCCTCGTATTTCTGCCGCTCCTCTGGTGCGATGCGCACCACGATGGATGAATTGTCATTCACAGGCGTCTCCTCACAGAGCTCAGCTCCCAGGGCTGCATCCTCCCCAACCAGGCGCTCAGTCTCAGGTACATTCTCCCCTGACGAAGGGGCAGGACAAGGTGAGGGACGGAGAAGAGGAAGCTGTACCCACCCTCACTCCATAGGCCAAGACCTCCAGGCCTCCATCTCCCTTGCCAAGTGGAACTTCAACCTTTTCAGGGGTGAAGTATCAGAAGGGTACTCAGCTCCTGCCCCCCTTCACTCTACTGCACCCCTCCAGAAACACAGCTCTTCTTGGAGATGGGCCGGCCCTTAAAGCCCACCCCATGCAGGGCTCTCTCTGGCTCCCTGAGCTGCGCCTTCTCCTGCCACCTCCCACAAGCCCTCTCTAACCGCCACGCCACCGGCTCAGCTCTGCCTCCAGCTTTGCAATGGTCTCCTTCTGAGTCTTTGTCTTCTCCTTCTCCTTCTCGTATTTCTTCTTCCACTGCTCAGCAGTCAACTCTAGATTCACTGAGGCAGTGTTCTTAATGGTCTTTGCCCTGGGTGAAGAGAACAAAGAGATGAATGCTCCCTGAAGGCTTGCCTGACACAGGGGAGAGAGCAGCAGGGGTGTGAGCAGAGGGCTGGGGACCCTGCCACCGACCGCTGTCCGAACATCAGGGTGGACTTGGTCTCTGCATCATTGTAGCTGGAAGGCGAACAGCAGATGAACATAGTTGTCCGGCAGTTTCCTCCCAGAGAGTCCTGGAGAATCCGTGTCATTTTGCTGTCACGATATGGAACATAGCTTTTCTGGGGGAAGAGGGAGACCATGAATCAGGAAAATAAATTCAACAGGAGAATCAGGAAGGGTAGTGGTGCCCATTAGGGACTGAGCGTCCATGATGGGGCATAATGAGAGTGTGGTATCAGGAGAACGGGTGGACCAGGGCCTAAGGGAAGCTCACAGTGCCCTCAGCCAGCGCAGAGATCACGTTCCCCAGGGCTGACAGGGATTTGTTGATGTTCTTTGCCTCGTCCAGCACAGCTCCCTCCGCTCCAGTCTTGCTGACCTGTCAGGGCATTAAAGGATCGAGTGTGTCATGAGCAGCTGCAAAGGAAAAGGCTCTCCCTGCCTCTCCTCCACTTAGGGGGGCTCAATAGGATGGGAGGAGACAGGGAAAGAGGACAGAGAAGGCTCTCTTCTGCCTGTATCCCTAAACTCTCCTGCCATAGGCCACCCCCTCTCACCTACATATTATACATATTACATGATCCCACACAGATGAAATGTCCAGAAAGGCAAATGCATAGAGATGAAAAGTGGATTACTGGTTGCCAGGGGCCAGGGAAGGAGAGAAGAGGGAGGAACTGTTAACAGGTGAAGAAAATGTCCTGGCATTAGTGATGATGGTTGCACAACCTTCCAAACATTCTTTAAAAACCATTTAATTGTACACTTTAAAACGGTGAACTTTATGGTCTGTGAATTGTATCTCAATGAAAAAGCTATTTGATTTTTAAAAAAGCCCCCCGCCAGGCTTCCTTCTCTGCCACACCCCACCACCCACAGGACCCCCAACCTTCTCGCTCCCTGCCAGGTCCACTAGATACAGCTTCCCGCTAAGCTTCTGCTCTGTCTCCATATTCTCCTGCTTAATGTTGATGAGGAAGATGCTATGGCTTCGGGAGCTGTGTTCATTCATGTCTGCAGGAGCAAAGGAAAACCAGTTACAGTGCCAGTGCCAGCGGAACTGATGCCCTCCGCGCCCAGCTTCCGCGACTGCTGCCCCCACCCACGGAGACATGAGGGGCCCACCAGACTGGCCCCACCACTCCATCTCCTGGGCCACAGGGCCTTGCAGACAAGACTGACCTCCTCTTCTGGAGGACACAGGCTTCCCTTGCTCACTTTCAAGTCCCTTAGCCTCAGAGGGCAGAGAGGAGAGACAGTCCCCCACATTCAAGAGCCCCTGAGATTCCCACTCACTGGTGACAGCCACATGACGATTCGATTTCCCCTCATCAATCACATCTAAAATCTCCTCCGGGCTGGACACAAAGCGCTCAGTACAGCCCTGCAGGGGGCAGATGGATAGTGACCCGTAAAGTTCGACCTGCAAATTGAGTTACCTGCACACTGGCCAAATGACCTTTCAAGACAGTGTTTTTTCCAAGCACCCAGACTCTCCTCAGCCCCTTGGCATGTCTCACTCCTCCAGGTTAACCACCTCTAATTTCTGTGTCACTGGTCTAGCCTCCTCTTACACCCATATGCTTAAAATACTAACCCCATCTGGATGCCCCTAGCCCCACTCTCACCTTGACAAATGGCACCCGGTTCTTGTCCTCATGCACAGACAGATTGGTCTTGGTCACTGAATCAAGACAGTGCAGGGTAAGCAAAGTCAACACTTCCGCCCTCAACCCTGCACCCTGTAGTCCACCCACATAGTGGCCTCTTCTATTGCAAAAGGGAGGAAGATGTCCCTGTGAAGCCTAAAGTCCCTGCACACACTGAAGACTCAGTTTCTTCTCCAGGATTCCAGCCCCAGGGATCCAGCTCATCTCAGCCTGTTTATACATAGGCCTGGGCATCTAAGCTCATCTCCTGACCCTTTAGTTTTTGGAAACCTTGGTGGGTGGGAGCAAGGGACACACTATGAGTGAGTGTGCCCTCTGCACCTCTTGCTAAACAGTTCCTGACCCCAAAGGCAATGTGATCTCTCTTTCCCTTGCCCTCCTCACACCCACACCCACCCACTGGGGTTAAACACCACTCACCATCCAGAAGGTCACGAATTTTGTCCAGGTAAATCTCAAAGTAAGAAACCTGATTAAGGAGAAAGGAAGAGTATGAAGAAAAGAGGGCCTATCTTGGATCTGACACCGGGACCGTGAGCTAATGTGATCCACTCAAACAATGGTAGTGGGAGGGGAAGGGCAGAAGAGAATATCTTGTTGGAGAACAGAGGTAACGGTAGGGGAAAATAAGTTGGGGCACCCAGGACCTCAGTGGGCTTATACCAGATCTTCCCCTCCCAGTCCCCATCTGAGGACACCTAGCTGTCATGCCCTAACTACCTTGATGTGGAACTCGAGGTTCTCATCCATGGAGTAGATGTGGTTGAAGATGTCTCGGGCAATTCGAGGAATGATTCCCATCAGCTGGGGGTCATGCAGCTTTCCCTGGGGAGTAAGAGTGTCCCAGAATGAGGCTGGGGCTCAGGAAGACTGAGACAACGCAAGAGGTATGCAGGTGGACACAAAGGTAATGGTCACTGAGGAGACCATCCTAAGGTCGGAGCCAGTCACCACCATGTCTACCTTTCAGTGGAAGGAGGAAAGAACTGAGTAGCTCTTGGGACTTACATTGCTGTTGCTTTTTCAGATCAGAAGAAAACTGGAATAATGGGAAGGAGGGTAAACTGCAGTATGCTGAAGGGATTCCATTCCACTTTCACTGTAATATTGCCCCTCAGCTCATCCTTAGACCAGGCAAACCGTGATGCCTAGATCTTCCCCCAGTGAGGTTCCTTGGCCTCCCATTACCACTGCCAACTCCCACACCATCGTGGAAGTCAGAACCCTCACCTCCATGGTATGTGTCTTCCCTGAGGATGTCTGACCATAAGCAAAAATGGTGCCATTGTAGCCAGCAAGGACATCTGGAAGAAATGACAGAGAAGGAACACTGGTGGGGAGAAGTCGGGTAGGGAATGGGGAGCCTGGAAAGCACATTCTAAAAATCTACCCATTACCTTTGACAATCTGCATGGCACATGCATGATAAACTTGCTCCTGAGTCGTGTTTGGAGGGAATACACGGTCAAAGACATATGGCTTCCCCTGAGTGGAGATAAAAGATGGCAGACATCAGCAGGCAGGGGGTGAAAAAGAAAGGCTGTGGCCCCTTTCATCAGGCTGAGAGGGCAGACACTCTCCAACCCCCTGTATGTGTGGCTGAGCATGGGGATGAGGGAAATGAGTGGGAGAGAGGAGCAAAACTCGTGACACCAAGAGTCATGTCCATGCGGTACTATGTCCTTGAAATCATGTTCATGCGGTACTGTGTCTCTCCCTGTGAGCTTGTGTGTGATGATTTATCACTCCACTATCCCAGGCCCTCTCCCTGAGAACCAAACAGGAGAAGACAACAAGGCCACCGGCAATGGAGAGGAAAGAACAATTTGTTGATATTAAAAATCTAAGTTTAAAAATACCTTCTTCAACAGATCCATGCATATCAATATGTAAAGATCTTCAAGATACATTAAGTGAAAGATGCAAATTAGGGACATAGGTATACTATGTTCCCTATCATGCAAATGAAAAATATACATATACTGAACAGCTGAGCTGTTGTAGAAACATTCACTCTCTGTAAAAAGAATATATGAAATTAGAAATGTGGATCTCCCTTTTAAAGAATCAGTTTTAAATAAAGAGAAACTGAGGTAAATCACTTAGACCTACAAGTACTTTGTAATTCAGGTCATATGCTATTAATCATGTGTGCTGGTAGGAAGGCTAAAAATACAAAATACAACCCAGGGAGCCAAAGAATGAATGTATTTGCTATCCAATCATATTGAAGGGAAGATCTCTGCTAAGATGAAATGAGACTATGCTTGTTCTCCATCATAAGTTTCTCAGTTGTGTTTTCCTGCCATTCAGTATAAAGTGACTATGACTTAGCTGTTGAATTGTTTTGCTACAGAGCCTGTCTTTATCCAGTGGAAATGTAAACCTCTAAGTCTATGAACACCAAAGTTTGGGAGACACATTCTAACTAATTAAGGGAAGTTATAAAACAACCAGAGCTGGAGATGTGGCTCTGGGTATATTTACAGTATTGTATCACATATATAGTGAATTTTTTCTAGAAGGAATTATACAAAAATATTAAGAGTGGTTACTTTGGGGAGAAACTGGAAGAAAGGAGACTTTCATTTTTCATTTTGTATCCTGGATTTGTTTACATTTTTAGACCATGTACAAGTATTCTTTTTTTCTTTTAATGTGAAAGAGCATGAGACAATAGTGCATTATTGTGTTTCTTTTTTACTTCTTTGCACAAAGGAAAATTAATATTTTTTAATATTTAAAAGATTTGCAAAAAAAATCTGGGTTATGAAAAAAATCTACCTGAAATATTAAACTGGTCTCTCTGTGGGAAAAGCCTCTGAAGCCCAAAAAAGAGAATCTACAACAAGAAAGAAGCTGTGAAGGCACTCACTACAATGGAGTACTGTAAACTGGTAGAGCCTTTCTGGAGGACAATTCTATTAAATATTTAAATATCCATACTATTTGACTCTGTACCAGTGATTCCAGTGCTAGGAATTCATTTTAAAACACTTGCTTAATCATGTCAGGATATGTATAGAAGGATGTTCATGGCAACCCTCTGTATTAAAGAAAAACAAGAAACATCCATCAATAAGATGTTATGATCCCTCCATACTCTACCTCTGTTAAAATGAGTGAGGTAGGTTTACATATATTTGACATGTCCAAGATAGATTATGTCACAAAATAAAAACAATGTGTACAATGTGATTATATGTTTAACAAAGCATATGGATATAGTGGCCTTAGAAAGAAGATGTGGAACACTATACACAGAACTGTTAATGGTATTATCAACTAGAGAACAGAATGACAGGAACTTATGCTTACTACATTTTTTTTCTGTGATATTTAAATGATATACAGGGACAACATACTACTTTTAGATGTAAAAAACAAAATATTACAGATGATGTTAAAGAAATTTATGTAATGACATGACAAGGTATACACAAAATACTGTTAAGCAAAAGAAGTGATTCCATTTCTGTTAACAAAACATATTATGTATATGTATATGTGTACCTTGTTTAGAAAAACACATCAATAGTGATTATCCTTGGACAGTAGGATTTTAGGAGTTTCTGCTTTTTTAGATTTAAAATTTCCCTAAAATTAAAATACATGAGAAAAATAAGAAAATTTGAAGTTCTTTAAACAAAGATATAAACATTCCTACTATATCAAGAACTCTCATAAATTAGTAACAAATAGGTAAAAGTAAACAAAAAAAATGGACAAGAGCTAAGTACCAACAACAGAAGAAACACAAATGTTCAGTAACATAAAGATGTTCAACATTTGTGAAGAAAAGGAAACTAAAACACCACCACCATTTTTTACCTACCAAATTGGAAAACAAAAACTTAACTGTAATACCTAGTGTAGATAAGGGATCAGTGAGGTATAATTTCCTAGAAGTGAGCATCCTCATTCTTTTCTGACAGGACATTAAAACAACTTTTATGGAAACAATTGTCTTGAATTGTACATACCCATTGACTCTGATATTCTACTTCCAAGAATTCACACTGTGGAAATACTTGTAGCAAATATTTAGCTACAAGAATTTTATAATCACAATGCTTATAATAAGGAGAAATTGAAAACAACTAAGGGAGTAACATTTAGGGGACTGGTTAACATAAGGAATTGGTTAAATGATGATATGTGCATATTTTGATGCTTTGTGCTATTTAAAATGATGTTACAATAGAATATCGATAAATCTAAAAAATGTGCTGAGTGAAAAAAACCACACAAAAGAGTACATGCATACTGTATTATTTCCTTTATATGAAGCTCAAGAACAGACAAAACTTATCTGTAGAGATAGAAGTCAAAATAGTGGTTGCCTGGGGGTGATACTGACAGGAAGGGGACACAAGGAAATTTTCAGAGGTGATAAAAATGTTCTAGATCTCAGTTTGAGGTGGTTACAGGGGTGCCAAAATATGTCATAAAGTTCACTGAGCTGTTTACATAGGATTTGTGCACACACTGTATGTAAATTATACCTGTGCTATCATAAAATGATGTTATAATGGCTCTTAAAATATGAATTGATGTACGTCACTGTTAAAAAGAGAAATACACATTAAGACTATAAAATACCATTTAACCTATCAAAGTGGCCAAAACAAAGTAGTTTGATGATTTTGGAAGAATTACATTGGCGAGAGCATGTATCAGCTGGGTCCAACTCCATGAAAGGCAATTTGGAACTAGCTCTTAAATTTTTTAATGCATATGCCTTATGACCTCCACTTGCAAAAATGTATCCTATAGACATACTTCACATATGCAAAATATATACACAGACAAGGTCATTCAGTTGTTTGTAATAGCAAATGATTAAGACAATCCTGAATGTCCACCAATAAGGACCTGATTAAAGAAATCACAGCACAGCTGTACAACAAGTTATGCAGTTGTTAAAAAGAATGAGATCTAGCTTTACATGCTGATGTGGAAGTATCCCCAAGACTCATTGTTAAGTTAAAAAAAAAAACAAACAAGGTGCAGAACAGTATGTATTGTATGCTACCATTTGTTTAAAAAAAAACAGCACATGCTTGTGTATATGTATTTGATTGTAAATATATATATATTTGCTTTTGGAAGGATCCACAAAAACTGGTAAAAAGGTTGTGTTCTGAAAGGGAAATTGGGTAGAAAAGAAGGTTAGGAAGGAGGCTTGCTTTTCATTGTATACCTTTAAATGGCATTTGAATTTTGTCACATGTGCATGTAAGACTTGTTCAAAAATTAAACTTTTTTAAAAATAAAGTTATGTAAAATATTTAATGATGGTAAAATAGTCATTATAGTGAAAGGATAGGTTATAAAACAATATATAGTTTATGATATACTTTTATCAAAATTAATATAAGTATATATGGAGAGAAAACCCACTGGAAACAAATACAACAACTGTTAACAGTATTTTTCTTGGGGTGGTGGGATTTCAAGGGATTTTTAGTTTCTTTGATTTTAACTTTGTCAACTATTAAAATACATTGTAATCAGATCATGTTTAATATTATTAAAGAAAAAAGCTACCTAGATCTTTTTTTAAAATATTTGAGTGAATTTATGGGTTATTCATAGGACTTTTGTGACTTTTTCATCCTTTCTAACTGAACAGTTTATCATTACATTTCGTTACAAAGAATAAAATCCCTATTACATAGAATAAAATCATTCACTGTTACAATTAATGGATTTAAAGTGCCACTGATGCCTCTTCTCCTCAGTGGTAATATCTTCTTGTATTTTACTTTTTAACTGAACCTCTGGAATTATAATCTAATTCAATGTTTCTCCCATCCAGTGGCCAAGAAACAGAAACAAACAAACCATGGCTCTCTCAGGCCAATGGTTCTCAGATCTTCACCAGTGTTGATTATTCATGCTTCTTGAAGCCAAGCGGTGTGCAGCCAAAGCGGATTAAATATAACATTTCAAGCCAATGCCCCGCCCTTCTTCCCTTTTGGGAACAAGGGCACCAACATGGACACACACACACAGAGTTACAGGATTCCAGAGAAGGTTGTAGATACTTCAAAATGAAGGGTGCTCTCCAAGTGCAGAAGGCAATTATTGTCTGAGGAACCCCGTTTTCACAGCCTAGGCTGGGAAGAAGGAAGAGAGCAGAGAGGGAGGAAGGGTGGCATTCTCAGTACTGTGAAGATAAAAGATATCCATGAGCTAAAAATGGGTGCACTTGGTAATCTTCTGAGGAGAGACATGGAATATCATTTCAGGGGTTCTGAGAAGATCTGCTACCACTCCCCTACTTGCATCTGGGTTCTTAAATGCCAAATCTCGTTCTTTCTTTTCTTTTCTCTTCTCTTCTCTTCTCTTCTCTTCTCTTCTCTTCTCTTCTTTCTCTTCTCTTCTCTTCTCTTCTCTTCTCTTCTTTCTCTTCTCTTCTCCTTCCTTTCTTTCTTTCTCTTTCCTTCCTTCCTTCCTTCCTTCCTTCCTTCCTTCCTTCCTTCCTTCCTTCCTTCCTTTCTCTCTTTCCTTCCTTCCTTCCTTCCTTCCTTCCTTCCTTCCTCTCTCTCTCTCTCTCTCTTTTCTTTCTTTCATATCATTAATCTACAATTACATGAAGAACATTGTTTACTAGGCTCCCCCCTTCACAGTCACTGTCCATCAGCGTAGTAAGATGCTGTAAAGTCACTAGTCTTCTCTGTGTTGAACAGCCCTCCCCGTGCCCCACCCCCACACTATACATGCTAATCATAATGCCCCCTTGTTCTTTATTTCTTTATGTTAAGATTTTTATTTCTGTTAAGTGTGAAATTCTTTTAATTCTCATTGATCATACAATGTATATTAATTATACATTAGTTTTCTACTTTTTCTGCCTCTAACCTACTCACATGGGAAACACTGGCATCATTTACATCTCTCATGGCACACAATTACTTTGAGTCAGACTGTAGTTTGTTGTGGGGTGGGTGCTTATCAGAATCTGGGGGAGTGTATGTACAGTTAGCAAAAGCCATTTCTGATGCTCACTCCCAAGCCTCTACCCAGACTACTCCACAGCCCACATCACCACCTAGACCAAAACTCCCTCTAAATCTCCAACATCAAGCAGCATACTTGGCCCATAGGATATTCGTTATAAGCATTTGTTGAATAAACACAGATGTTGATGGAGGAAGAGAACAAGAAAATACCACGGACCTGGAAGTTTGGATGAGACAACTAATAAGAGGTGATAATGTTAAGCACTCACAGTTGTGTCAAAGGCTAGCCTGTGGGGAGATGGCATATATAAAATAGTAACATCTAACTCTTTCTGGAAGTTTATGATGTGCCTGTCTCTGTGCTAAGCAGTGATCTATGCATTACTGCATTTAATACTCACAGTAATCCTAGGAGGTAGGTACTACTATTATTCCATTTTATAGATGGAGAAACTGAGGTCCAAAAAGGTAAGGTAGCTTGCCCACTGTCACACTGATAGACATGGTAAAGCATTCTGATTGCAGACTCACAGTGACAAAGTGATCCAAGAACTGATGTGCCAGCACTGCATCAGATCCTTCGCATGGCTTTTCTTTCCCTCCCCCAGATCCATCCCTCAAATTTGGACATTTCTCCAAATGTTTCCTGACAGAACTCAAGCCCTTCATCACTCCCTTTTTCCAAACTCAATCCCATCTTCAGAATTCACCAACCTATTCTCTCTGAGGAACCTCCCTCACCATCTCTACCTCCAGGTAACCCAAGGCCCATAAATTGGGGCAGTGTCAGAGACTGGAACACTTGTTATGTTAGAAGAACTCTGGGAGGCCCTTTACCTTTGAGGAACACCCCCAAGATCCTCTTTCTGTCCCGCCCTCAGCAGCCCAAGCACTCCCATAGCCTTCTCCGGAGACCTTCCTTTCAGTGTCCTGAGCCCAGGGCTCTCTGTACTCCTTTAACCCCACCCAAGCCTCTTTGTTCTCTCCTTGTCCATTTGTGTCTCCCAGCACTTATCTGTGGTTTCCCATTATGTGTGCAGACTAAAACTAACAGGGGGCCTAAAATCAGGGGTCCAGAGACAACCAACCTTTTCAACCCTTAGGGAAGCACTTGAAAGAGGCTGAACTTCAGAGCACTAGGCTTGATTTCCATGGTGACACTCTTGGGGATTGTTGCTATGGTAATGCTGGAGAGACACTGTCCATGGTGAACATCACCTCCCAGCTCCATTTTCCTTTGTGAGACTCCCCTTACCCCAAAGCCAAGGGGAGACCTGCTCTTCATCTGCAGGTATCAAAGGAATCTGGGGTCACCCCAAACAAAACTGCTCTGCTCCAATAATCCTGCAGTTCCCAGCCTAGCTTTTCCAAATGAGGTACTTGATGGCCCTGAATTTCTGCCTCCTTAAGGACCCACTTCACCACTGGGAGACCTGAGGGAGGTAAAATGTAGTGGATACCTGAATGAATGAGGGAATTGGGGGAGCGAGTGTGTGTGTGCCTTTACTGTCATCCCTCCCATGCCTGGTATAGATGCAGCAGCCCAGACAGCATCTGGGACACCGCCCACCAAGACCAAGGCAGAGAGACACATAAATGGTTCCAGGGAAAAAGTCACAGTGACACAAAGAGCAAAACAAGGTACTCAGCACACACAGCAGTGACCCTGACACCTTCCACTATAACTCAGGCCATTATCTTTAGCTAAGCTCCTTCCCCAGATTCCTGGGAGAAGTCAGGGGAGCGGGGGACGGATAGGCTCACAGAGGTGTCTCTCCAGCTTACTCTCCTACCCTTTGTCAAGCAGAAAACACTGGGGACTCAGAAGCCCAGAGCTCGCTGCAGTGTCACAGAGGCAGAGAGGAGAGCCGTTAGAGACAGGCGCAGGGGCTGGGTTTGCAGCAATGAATCCCTCCCACTTTCACTCTTCCCTCACCTTCCCATCCTGAGGCAGCCTCCTCCACTAATTCCTCAGACAGTTTCCCACACACTGGGTCCCAAATGGAGCTAGGGGAGAAAAGAGGGATGGGGTGGGAGATTTCATTTCTTTGTTCGCAAGGTCCCCTCAAAATCACGTCTCCTATAGCCCTCACCCTCCTGAAAGATGAGTGAACAGAAGGCCTGGGAAGGCATGTTCCAAGGACGCTGCCTCAGACAAAATGGCCCCCAGAAGCATTTATCCTGAAGAGAGAGACTGATAGGAAGGGCTACGGCAAGGGAAGATGCAGAGCTAGATAAAGGTATACAGCCCTACAAATACCAGGCAAAGCAGATGAGGAAGGACCAGCTGTGGAGCTAGGATGGCATCTGAACTGGCAGGGACCCCGGGCCTCTCATCACTCCTCCCTCCCCACCCGCCACTGCATCTCTCTGGTTTAGCTCCTTAGCCAGATCAATACCACAACTTCAGCCAACATGCCCCCTGCCCCATGCCCACCCTAAGGATGGCCCAGAGAGCCAAAAGGACTTTGTTCAGACTTATCTGAGAAACTTGAACAAGGAAGCTAGGCTTAAAAGTAGAAGCCTTTGTGGACTTGCTTCCCCTGACCACCTCCCTCCTGTTTCTCAGCCTTTATGTCTCAGAGGAACCACAAGTCCAGCTCTCACAGCAAATGCTTGCTGTCCAGGCTACTCAAACAGGAGTCCCCCAGGGTTAATGCAGGCATTACTTTAGCCTGGCTAGACTGGCCAGACCACAAGGCCTTAGGTCCCTGAGTTTGATACTGCATTTGTTGTTGGGCTCTGCCATGGTGGTCGCTTCTGGGACCGCTGAGGACACAGAGGTCCTCTCTGAGTGAACACACACTCACCTAAGCACACACACAAGGCAAAAACACCCATTTGAGTTTCACGGTGTGGTTAAGAACTGAGCATGGTGACAGACTGGGGCCTCTGGGGACAGGACATGCAAGCAGGCTCTTCCTAAGATCTGTTTACCCAAAGCCCCACTCACATTGATTCAGAAGCCCCAGCTCCCTCTCCTTTTTTCTTTCATTTCTTTCATAAGAATGCCTTGTGCCAAGCACTGTGGATGAAATTTGTGAGAAGTGCCCCTGACCTTGAGGAATATCCTCATGTGTGCCCCTCCCTTCTCAAAGCAGCTAGTTTCCTGGCCCAGCACCCCTCAAGTCCTTCTGGACTCAGCCCCAGATCCTTTCACCACACAATCTACCAGTCCCTACCAACCTTGGAAAGGAAGAGTAGGTGAGGAATTCCCTAAGAGTTCCCTTTGAGCCATCACAGATAAAGGTCCAGCACAAAAATCTGCAAAGGCAGTGTGATACAGGGGAAAATGTAGGAGCTTTGAAGTCACAGATCTAGGTTCAGATCCACGAATTAGCAGTGTGACCTTGAGAAAGTCATTCACCTTCTTTGGGCCTCAATTTCCTTATCTGTAAAATGGAAATATTAATACCTACTTCAGAGTGTTGTTAGAGCATTAAACAATGTATACAGAGTGACAGCATGCAGCAAATATTAGTTCTTAATGAGATCTCCAAGGGTCAGTGCTGTGGTGATGAGGTAGAAGTGGCCTGCTGCTTTTCTGGATCATCAAGGGAAAGAATAAATAAGCAAGTGCTTGTTAGAAGCTCTCGGCTTGGTTATTTTTATTTGTTAGGGAGACTTGGAGGGTCTGAAATCTTCTTCCTACAGTACCTGTGAGGAAAAGGCAGACACTGCCTTAGCACCCCAGAGGTTTTCTGTCCCTTCCACCCCCAATTGGGTGTGGCATCAATGTGTTTCTTTCTCAGAAAACCCTTCACCAGACCCGTGCCGTCCCCCCAAGTCCTGGCTGTAATTACTTTAGGGGGTGATAGAGGGCTTGGTCCAAGAGTCCTTTCTCATTCATACCTCACAGAAAGCCTGGGCTGGCCACCTCCCATCTAACCCATCCACTAGTCTTCCCCCTCCCTTCCTGAGAGGTGGGGGTAGAGATTTGAGCCAATAACAAAGGGAAGATGCGCTTTCTCTAGGGCAGAGGGAGAACATCGGAAACACAAAGGACTGGCTGTATGGGGTGGAGACGCCGCAGAGAGCAGCAGAGGGGAGTTGGGTCCCTTTGCGAGGACGTGGCCCCCTCCCACTGCGGAGACCTGACCGCCGGGCTGGCCGGGCCACACCCAGCCATCCTGATGCAGGGGAGAGGAGGGGCTGCGGCGAAGAGGACGAAGGAGGAGCGGCCGGGAAGGGGCAGGGGCTGAAACTCGGCGGGGGGGCGCACGGGAGATTCAGCCTTCCGCCCCCTCCCCGAAATTCTCTCCGTGGGCCCGGGGGGCGAACTCACCCCAATAACGACGCTGTCGTCCCCTTGGAAAATGGGGATGAACTTATCCCCCCGCAGAATCTCGGCCTGGTTCAGAGGCCGAAATCGGCAGAGCACCTTGATGCTGCATTCGTTGTTGGGCTCCGCCATGGTGGTTGCTTCTCGGGCTGCAGGGATGTTCGGTTCTCCGGAGGAGGGTCGCTCAGCTGAAGCCGAGGCGGAGGGCAGGTGCTTGTCTCTGATACCGAGAAGACTGTCGGGGGCGCCCGGGCGAAGGCTAGGGAGCAGGGCTGGGGCGCGCTCCCGACTCCTGCGGCTCCGGGATGCGGGAGTCCGGTGCGTCGGGAGCTCTCAGCGCTCTGCCCCTCCGCCCCTGCGCTGCAGCGCCGCGCTGCGGGCCTGGGCGGGGCGGCGGTCGAGGAGCGGGCGGGGCGTCGTTCGCGGGCGGCCAGCCACCGGGCGGCCACCCCCAGAGGTAGCATCTTTCCTTTTCTTGCCTCATTTCCCCACCCCCAGCCCGCCCGGAGAACTTTGCCCTTACCGCCTCCCAACCCAAGTCACTCACTGCATCCCACCCCCGACATCCTTGGCCAGTCTGTACCTCCCTCGGACTCCACCCCTCTGTAAGGGATATGGGGTCTGAGGTGGGCCCGTCGCCTGTCTAGGGAAGAGAACCAGCAGAGTTTCCACCCCTTGTATTCCAGGGCATCTCTCTCCAAATTGGGAGTATACTCATTCCCACTGGCACAGGTTCCCAACTCGCTCAACCTTTAAAGGCAGCTGCCTGTACCCCTATGGAGGTTGGGGGCTAGATTCCATTTTTCAAAGAGGCCTGTCAGGGTGAGTCTGCCTAATCCCTTCTTGCTCTACAGCCAAAGGTGCACTCTACTGTCTCCCTAACATATACTCCCTGTCTCTGGTTTACGGGAAGACCAACTCCCATTCTGGACTACCGTAATTCAAAAGCAGAGAAGCTACTCGTTTTTGCCTCATAGGTTGGGGCTATGATGGAGGTAGGCAGGAAAGAGTATCTTTGCAAGGGAAAAGGAGTCAGAAAGCAGTGAAGGAGGGGTGATGATGGGGGTGGGTATAGTCAGAGGGGCGTTGACAGAGGACCTGCAGGGCATACATCTGCATTTAAGTCTCAGGTAGGCTGGGCACCAATATGAGTGTGCTTCCTGTCCCAGTTACTCCCAAGTCCCAACACCCTGGCCCCTTACTCAGGCATTTTCTTCTCTGTTTCCACTCCTTCTGTGGCAAAAAAAAGCACCAAGTCTGGTGATACCTGTCTTTCCTCCCTTCAGGTCACACTCCTGCTGCAGCCCCTGAGCAGAACCACCTAGAAGCTGGCCAAATTGATTTTTCTTACGTCAGAGGCCTCTGCTGGCCAACAGAGAGTTAGACTGCAGTTGAGGCTCTAGGCCAAAGGGAGGGGCAGGATGATGGGAGAAAGGAGGAGATGTAGGTTCTGCCTCCTGCCTAACAATTGTCTAAGGTCACTTAGACACTATGAGAGAAGGGTGACAGAATGATGGCCTGGCCAGACACGACCTTACCACTCAGAACTCAGCTGAAGGGTGTTCCCAGTTGGGTCTATATCTCTAACACACATTTAGCCTAAAGGAACTGGAGGAAAAGGGCACATCATAACGAACTGGACGGGAAGGCAGTAGGACTACAGAAAAAGAGGGGGTAGTGGCTTGGAGAAGAGCCAGGAAAGAATGCATAGAATGACAATAAGTCCCAAACTCAGAAAAATAAGCATCTCTCCAGTCACTTGTCCCCCACACTATACATGCTAATCATAATGCCCCCTTGTTCTTTATTTCTTTATGTTAAGATTTTTATTTCTGTTAAGTGTGAAATTCTTTTAATTCTCATTGATCATACAATGTATATTAATTATACATTAGTTTTCTACTTTTTCTGCCTCTAACCTACTCACATGGGAAACACTGGCATCATTTACATCTCTCATGGCACACAATTACTTTGAGTCAGACTGTAGTTTGTTGTGGGGTGGGTGCTTATCAGAATCTGGGGGAGTGTATGTACAGTTAGCAAAAGCCATTTCTGATGCTCACTCCCAAGCCTCTACCCAGACTACTCCACAGCCCACATCACCACCTAGACCAAAACTCCCTCTAAATCTCCAACATCAAGCAGCATACTTGGCCCATAGGATATTCGTTATAAGCATTTGTTGAATAAACACAGATGTTGATGGAGGAAGAGAACAAGAAAATACCACGGACCTGGAAGTTTGGATGAGACAACTAATAAGAGGTGATAATGTTAAGCACTCACAGTTGTGTCAAAGGCTAGCCTGTGGGGAGATGGCATATATAAAATAGTAACATCTAACTCTTTCTGGAAGTTTATGATGTGCCTGTCTCTGTGCTAAGCAGTGATCTATGCATTACTGCATTTAATACTCACAGTAATCCTAGGAGGTAGGTACTACTATTATTCCATTTTATAGATGGAGAAACTGAGGTCCAAAAAGGTAAGGTAGCTTGCCCACTGTCACACTGATAGACATGGTAAAGCATTCTGATTGCAGACTCACAGTGACAAAGTGATCCAAGAACTGATGTGCCAGCACTGCATCAGATCCTTCGCATGGCTTTTCTTTCCCTCCCCCAGATCCATCCCTCAAATTTGGACATTTCTCCAAATGTTTCCTGACAGAACTCAAGCCCTTCATCACTCCCTTTTTCCAAACTCAATCCCATCTTCAGAATTCACCAACCTATTCTCTCTGAGGAACCTCCCTCACCATCTCTACCTCCAGGTAACCCAAGGCCCATAAATTGGGGCAGTGTCAGAGACTGGAACACTTGTTATGTTAGAAGAACTCTGGGAGGCCCTTTACCTTTGAGGAACACCCCCAAGATCCTCTTTCTGTCCCGCCCTCAGCAGCCCAAGCACTCCCATAGCCTTCTCCGGAGACCTTCCTTTCAGTGTCCTGAGCCCAGGGCTCTCTGTACTCCTTTAACCCCACCCAAGCCTCTTTGTTCTCTCCTTGTCCATTTGTGTCTCCCAGCACTTATCTGTGGTTTCCCATTATGTGTGCAGACTAAAACTAACAGGGGGCCTAAAATCAGGGGTCCAGAGACAACCAACCTTTTCAACCCTTAGGGAAGCACTTGAAAGAGGCTGAACTTCAGAGCACTAGGCTTGATTTCCATGGTGACACTCTTGGGGATTGTTGCTATGGTAATGCTGGAGAGACACTGTCCATGGTGAACATCACCTCCCAGCTCCATTTTCCTTTGTGAGACTCCCCTTACCCCAAAGCCAAGGGGAGACCTGCTCTTCATCTGCAGGTATCAAAGGAATCTGGGGTCACCCCAAACAAAACTGCTCTGCTCCAATAATCCTGCAGTTCCCAGCCTAGCTTTTCCAAATGAGGTACTTGATGGCCCTGAATTTCTGCCTCCTTAAGGACCCACTTCACCACTGGGAGACCTGAGGGAGGTAAAATGTAGTGGATACCTGAATGAATGAGGGAATTGGGGGAGCGAGTGTGTGTGTGCCTTTACTGTCATCCCTCCCATGCCTGGTATAGATGCAGCAGCCCAGACAGCATCTGGGACACCGCCCACCAAGACCAAGGCAGAGAGACACATAAATGGTTCCAGGGAAAAAGTCACAGTGACACAAAGAGCAAAACAAGGTACTCAGCACACACAGCAGTGACCCTGACACCTTCCACTATAACTCAGGCCATTATCTTTAGCTAAGCTCCTTCCCCAGATTCCTGGGAGAAGTCAGGGGAGCGGGGGACGGATAGGCTCACAGAGGTGTCTCTCCAGCTTACTCTCCTACCCTTTGTCAAGCAGAAAACACTGGGGACTCAGAAGCCCAGAGCTCGCTGCAGTGTCACAGAGGCAGAGAGGAGAGCCGTTAGAGACAGGCGCAGGGGCTGGGTTTGCAGCAATGAATCCCTCCCACTTTCACTCTTCCCTCACCTTCCCATCCTGAGGCAGCCTCCTCCACTAATTCCTCAGACAGTTTCCCACACACTGGGTCCCAAATGGAGCTAGGGGAGAAAAGAGGGATGGGGTGGGAGATTTCATTTCTTTGTTCGCAAGGTCCCCTCAAAATCACGTCTCCTATAGCCCTCACCCTCCTGAAAGATGAGTGAACAGAAGGCCTGGGAAGGCATGTTCCAAGGACGCTGCCTCAGACAAAATGGCCCCCAGAAGCATTTATCCTGAAGAGAGAGACTGATAGGAAGGGCTACGGCAAGGGAAGATGCAGAGCTAGATAAAGGTATACAGCCCTACAAATACCAGGCAAAGCAGATGAGGAAGGACCAGCTGTGGAGCTAGGATGGCATCTGAACTGGCAGGGACCCCGGGCCTCTCATCACTCCTCCCTCCCCACCCGCCACTGCATCTCTCTGGTTTAGCTCCTTAGCCAGATCAATACCACAACTTCAGCCAACATGCCCCCTGCCCCATGCCCACCCTAAGGATGGCCCAGAGAGCCAAAAGGACTTTGTTCAGACTTATCTGAGAAACTTGAACAAGGAAGCTAGGCTTAAAAGTAGAAGCCTTTGTGGACTTGCTTCCCCTGACCACCTCCCTCCTGTTTCTCAGCCTTTATGTCTCAGAGGAACCACAAGTCCAGCTCTCACAGCAAATGCTTGCTGTCCAGGCTACTCAAACAGGAGTCCCCCAGGGTTAATGCAGGCATTACTTTAGCCTGGCTAGACTGGCCAGACCACAAGGCCTTAGGTCCCTGAGTTTGATACTGCATTTGTTGTTGGGCTCTGCCATGGTGGTCGCTTCTGGGACCGCTGAGGACACAGAGGTCCTCTCTGAGTGAACACACACTCACCTAAGCACACACACAAGGCAAAAACACCCATTTGAGTTTCACGGTGTGGTTAAGAACTGAGCATGGTGACAGACTGGGGCCTCTGGGGACAGGACATGCAAGCAGGCTCTTCCTAAGATCTGTTTACCCAAAGCCCCACTCACATTGATTCAGAAGCCCCAGCTCCCTCTCCTTTTTTCTTTCATTTCTTTCATAAGAATGCCTTGTGCCAAGCACTGTGGATGAAATTTGTGAGAAGTGCCCCTGACCTTGAGGAATATCCTCATGTGTGCCCCTCCCTTCTCAAAGCAGCTAGTTTCCTGGCCCAGCACCCCTCAAGTCCTTCTGGACTCAGCCCCAGATCCTTTCACCACACAATCTACCAGTCCCTACCAACCTTGGAAAGGAAGAGTAGGTGAGGAATTCCCTAAGAGTTCCCTTTGAGCCATCACAGATAAAGGTCCAGCACAAAAATCTGCAAAGGCAGTGTGATACAGGGGAAAATGTAGGAGCTTTGAAGTCACAGATCTAGGTTCAGATCCACGAATTAGCAGTGTGACCTTGAGAAAGTCATTCACCTTCTTTGGGCCTCAATTTCCTTATCTGTAAAATGGAAATATTAATACCTACTTCAGAGTGTTGTTAGAGCATTAAACAATGTATACAGAGTGACAGCATGCAGCAAATATTAGTTCTTAATGAGATCTCCAAGGGTCAGTGCTGTGGTGATGAGGTAGAAGTGGCCTGCTGCTTTTCTGGATCATCAAGGGAAAGAATAAATAAGCAAGTGCTTGTTAGAAGCTCTCGGCTTGGTTATTTTTATTTGTTAGGGAGACTTGGAGGGTCTGAAATCTTCTTCCTACAGTACCTGTGAGGAAAAGGCAGACACTGCCTTAGCACCCCAGAGGTTTTCTGTCCCTTCCACCCCCAATTGGGTGTGGCATCAATGTGTTTCTTTCTCAGAAAACCCTTCACCAGACCCGTGCCGTCCCCCCAAGTCCTGGCTGTAATTACTTTAGGGGGTGATAGAGGGCTTGGTCCAAGAGTCCTTTCTCATTCATACCTCACAGAAAGCCTGGGCTGGCCACCTCCCATCTAACCCATCCACTAGTCTTCCCCCTCCCTTCCTGAGAGGTGGGGGTAGAGATTTGAGCCAATAACAAAGGGAAGATGCGCTTTCTCTAGGGCAGAGGGAGAACATCGGAAACACAAAGGACTGGCTGTATGGGGTGGAGACGCCGCAGAGAGCAGCAGAGGGGAGTTGGGTCCCTTTGCGAGGACGTGGCCCCCTCCCACTGCGGAGACCTGACCGCCGGGCTGGCCGGGCCACACCCAGCCATCCTGATGCAGGGGAGAGGAGGGGCTGCGGCGAAGAGGACGAAGGAGGAGCGGCCGGGAAGGGGCAGGGGCTGAAACTCGGCGGGGGGGCGCACGGGAGATTCAGCCTTCCGCCCCCTCCCCGAAATTCTCTCCGTGGGCCCGGGGGGCGAACTCACCCCAATAACGACGCTGTCGTCCCCTTGGAAAATGGGGATGAACTTATCCCCCCGCAGAATCTCGGCCTGGTTCAGAGGCCGAAATCGGCAGAGCACCTTGATGCTGCATTCGTTGTTGGGCTCCGCCATGGTGGTTGCTTCTCGGGCTGCAGGGATGTTCGGTTCTCCGGAGGAGGGTCGCTCAGCTGAAGCCGAGGCGGAGGGCAGGTGCTTGTCTCTGATACCGAGAAGACTGTCGGGGGCGCCCGGGCGAAGGCTAGGGAGCAGGGCTGGGGCGCGCTCCCGACTCCTGCGGCTCCGGGATGCGGGAGTCCGGTGCGTCGGGAGCTCTCAGCGCTCTGCCCCTCCGCCCCTGCGCTGCAGCGCCGCGCTGCGGGCCTGGGCGGGGCGGCGGTCGAGGAGCGGGCGGGGCGTCGTTCGCGGGCGGCCAGCCACCGGGCGGCCACCCCCAGAGGTAGCATCTTTCCTTTTCTTGCCTCATTTCCCCACCCCCAGCCCGCCCGGAGAACTTTGCCCTTACCGCCTCCCAACCCAAGTCACTCACTGCATCCCACCCCCGACATCCTTGGCCAGTCTGTACCTCCCTCGGACTCCACCCCTCTGTAAGGGATATGGGGTCTGAGGTGGGCCCGTCGCCTGTCTAGGGAAGAGAACCAGCAGAGTTTCCACCCCTTGTATTCCAGGGCATCTCTCTCCAAATTGGGAGTATACTCATTCCCACTGGCACAGGTTCCCAACTCGCTCAACCTTTAAAGGCAGCTGCCTGTACCCCTATGGAGGTTGGGGGCTAGATTCCATTTTTCAAAGAGGCCTGTCAGGGTGAGTCTGCCTAATCCCTTCTTGCTCTACAGCCAAAGGTGCACTCTACTGTCTCCCTAACATATACTCCCTGTCTCTGGTTTACGGGAAGACCAACTCCCATTCTGGACTACCGTAATTCAAAAGCAGAGAAGCTACTCGTTTTTGCCTCATAGGTTGGGGCTATGATGGAGGTAGGCAGGAAAGAGTATCTTTGCAAGGGAAAAGGAGTCAGAAAGCAGTGAAGGAGGGGTGATGATGGGGGTGGGTATAGTCAGAGGGGCGTTGACAGAGGACCTGCAGGGCATACATCTGCATTTAAGTCTCAGGTAGGCTGGGCACCAATATGAGTGTGCTTCCTGTCCCAGTTACTCCCAAGTCCCAACACCCTGGCCCCTTACTCAGGCATTTTCTTCTCTGTTTCCACTCCTTCTGTGGCAAAAAAAAGCACCAAGTCTGGTGATACCTGTCTTTCCTCCCTTCAGGTCACACTCCTGCTGCAGCCCCTGAGCAGAACCACCTAGAAGCTGGCCAAATTGATTTTTCTTACGTCAGAGGCCTCTGCTGGCCAACAGAGAGTTAGACTGCAGTTGAGGCTCTAGGCCAAAGGGAGGGGCAGGATGATGGGAGAAAGGAGGAGATGTAGGTTCTGCCTCCTGCCTAACAATTGTCTAAGGTCACTTAGACACTATGAGAGAAGGGTGACAGAATGATGGCCTGGCCAGACACGACCTTACCACTCAGAACTCAGCTGAAGGGTGTTCCCAGTTGGGTCTATATCTCTAACACACATTTAGCCTAAAGGAACTGGAGGAAAAGGGCACATCATAACGAACTGGACGGGAAGGCAGTAGGACTACAGAAAAAGAGGGGGTAGTGGCTTGGAGAAGAGCCAGGAAAGAATGCATAGAATGACAATAAGTCCCAAACTCAGAAAAATAAGCATCTCTCCAGTCACTTGGTCTGGCAGCAGTATACTACAAGCTCAAGAAACATCCTGGGAAACATCCCAACTTCAGGCCCCAGGCACTCCAGTGTGGCAACCTTTAGTTGAAGGAGTTTCAAGAACTGCTTAGTCCCTGGAGTGTCGCTGGTCAGAGACAAAAGTTTACTGGGTATGCATCACCCCAAAACTCCCCACGCTATGTGGTAAACCTTCATAAAGCTAGACTTATTGTTTCAAAAGACTGTCTTTTATTCTGAAAATATGTCCTTCTGACTTTTCTACTAAGAAATGATGGCAGTAGCAAATAGTAGGTTTCGTCTTTCAGTGTACTTGCTTGGCAAAAAAAAAAAGTTAGCAATACTGTCTATCCTCAAAAAGGTTTGTTATTGTTTCAATTTTATTGTACTGTGAAATTCATAAGTCTGAAAACTTAGTAATTGGCGAAGAACAGAGGGTGTTTAAACAGAAATAGAGCCAACACTTACCTACTTAGAACTTGAGATAGGATTGCCAGATTTGAAAAACAAAAACAGGATGCTAATTTAAATTTGAATTTCAGAAAAAAACCTAATAATTTGTGTGTGTTAGTATGTCCCAAACATGGTACTAAAAAAACTAACAGAATTATTAGTTTATCCAAAGTCCACATTTAACTAGGCATCCTCTATTTTATGATAGCCCTGCCTTGAGAAGATTAACTAACTTAACTCTTTCATTCCTAACATGACTAAGCCTTTACTAAATTTTACCTGTTATTGCTGTTTTTGAAGCCCTCGCTGTGCCACAGCATAAGAAATTGTGTCGTTTCTTATCTAGTCATTTAATTTCTGGGAGCCCAGATTTACTCACCAGGAAAAACAGGAATTACAAAAAGCTCTTTCAAATACTTGATGTAAAAATGAAGGAAAGTAAGTTGTATGAAATCACTTCTTCCAGGAGGATTACTATCGGTTCCTGTCCAAGCCGGGTGGGGCAAGACTACATATCCCACAATCCCAGGCGGTTCCCCGCCCAGCCATTACCTCATTACCCCGCTGAGTTCTCACCAATCCCTACCACTCCAGGGGTGTGGTAGCGAGATATTCTCGCGACTTTTGCTTTACCCTTCTCCGGTGCTACTCCTGTCGCGAGACTTCTTGCCTCTCCACCTTCGCCGCTCCCTCTGCTGCCGCTTTAGCCCGGGACCCGGACCCAGCCTCTCCCCTACCCGAACTCCAGCCCCGGCTTCATTGAGGCCCCGGTCCCCCAATCCCGCCTCGCCGCCGCCATGGCGGACCCTAAATACGCCGACCTTCCCGGCATTGTGAGTACAAGGCCGGCCCCCGGCTCCCCAGGACCGCGCCCCCAACCTCTTAAGGACCCCCAACAGACACCCTCCGGCCAGCAGCCTCTCCTCTGCCCCAGAGGCTCCCAACGCTCGCGCCCCTCACGGGCCACAGCACCTTCAGGACTCCTCCGACCCGACTGGGCCGGGCCGTGGAACGGCCTACCAGGCCCATTTTCCAGCAGTTGCCTGTTTCTTGGCCCAGAAATTGTCTCCGGGCACATACCACTTGTGCCCGAGTGGTTTCTATCACCCGTGTCTCCCCAAATCTCCCCATAAGCCCCCGCTTCCCTACCCTAAACACACATCCCAAGCCACTTGGTGATGTGGCCTTCACCCTACCAAAGAAGAGACTACCGTGGTGGAACCCTTTTTGTGCCAGATGGAGAACTCTGCCCTCCAGGGAACCTGCCCCCAAACCCCTCATCCCTGCACAGGCCTCATGTACCTTTCTTTCGTGTGTCCCTACTTGTGTCCTCGGGGTGGGGGTGGGGTCATAGGATCTTGAGTCCTAAGTCACTCTCAACCTTTGTGTCAGGGTAGCGGTGTTAAGGGCCCAATTGGAGGATAGTCCCCTCCTACTTTCGACATAATGTTTGCTAAGGACTTGCCCCCTTTCAGATTCACGGTGACATCTTTGTCACCACTTACACTCAACACTTATTATCAGGTCCCAGTTGTCCCTGCTGTCAATCCCCACACCTCTAAGACATGGGAACTGACCTGCATTTCTTGGGACAGGTGGCATAGTGAGGTCACAGCCTGCTTTCTCTTAGTTTGTTCAAATGGAATGGGGTCAGGGGTGTTGTTGGATGCTGGGTAGTGAAGTTGGGTGGTCACTGCTTCTACCTGCAGGCCAGGAACGAGCCAGATGTTTATGAAACCAGCGACTTACCTGAGGATGATCAAGCAGAGTTTGATGCGGTAAGACTATATGCTGCTTCAGGACTCCTCTGGACCTTGATCTCTCTCCCTCAGGCAGGACCTTTCCATTTTCTGGCAAGCCACAGCAATGAGCGGGTATGCCAACCCAGCCTGGGTGGTGTGTAGATTGCATGGCTTGCAGCCACCAATGAGCAATGCCAGGAAAGAAAGTCAGGTCAGAGGAATTACAGCTAACAAGACCTGATCCTTGGGGCTTTTAAATAAAGTTAAAGTATCTCAAAAAAACAGTTAGGTTTGGGGCCAGTGATTTCGTTAGGCCCCTCAGTGGTAGTCCATGATAATGAGTCATGAAGCCTGAGCACTCACAAACTGCTTGAGGTTAGGAATTAGGCCTATTTCATAAAATATTTCACTCAGTACATGTTCATTAGGGCCCTACCAAGACCTAGATTATAAAATATGGAGGCTTTTATATGAATGGCCAGTATCCATTGGGCAAGGATTAAGAAAATGATTTAGAGATTTTAGAAAGATAAGGGACCTGATCAGAATAAAACAAATTGAGGAAAAACATAAATCTTTCATATCAGCAGAGGAGAGGCCCTGGTAGCACTTTCAGGTCCAGGTAGAACTCTGAAGAGGAAGAAATTAGCTGTGGACACATTATGATCATGAAGGGAATCACTTAGCATTGTTTATTGAATATGTTCATTCTGTATTGGTTTTGGTGCAATGCAGAGGAAGAAATGTCCCTGCCCTCAAGGATATGCCATACTAATGGGGGAGTTAAGAGGCACATAGAAAACAAATGGAAGAAAAAACAAAATTGAGTGAATGGAAATCAACATAGTAAAAATTCTGTATGTAACTGCCAAGGGGAACAAAGATCTGTCGGCATGTCTTAAAGGAGGTGTTTTAGGTTCTTTTATATCCAGAGAGAGCTCAGCTAGGGTCACATTGATGGTGTGAGATCTCAATAAAGTGTGACCAACAGTCAGTGGGAATAGGCTCAGTATGTGGCTGTAAGTCCTGTGGCTATGTCTGTGGAGCTGGTTAGTTCTGGAGAATGCTGGTTGCTGGCTTAAAATGTATGGCTTGGCATACTCGCTTATTCCTTATTTTATTTCCCCCATATGGAAGTGGTTTCCACTTTGTGGGAGTCACCTTCCCTGTCCCCTCTGTCAGTGGTGTGTTCCTTGTGGCTTTTGTACTTGCTGGCATGTCAGTCTGTCCCCCAAGCTTGAGTACCTGGAGATAATGCAGATGTCATTGCTCAGGGCTTGGGTACATAACTCTCTCTCCAAGTGGTATCTTATCAGAAAGTTGTCTTCGATCTCACAGGGCAGGAGTTTGTATACTGAGGACATCACTCTTCTGCCACTTCACAGACTGTTCAACTCTGGCCTAGGCCTCTGCTTATAAAATATTAAGCCTTCATGGTGAGACCATGAATGTGAGTTTGCCACTTTGTCATTGACTGATACCCACAGGCAGTATTACAGCATCCCCTCCCAGACCACAAGCTTATATTACGATTCTCCTTTCGGAAGCACTGGGATGTCTCTTAATAAAAAGAAGATGGCATGCATTCCAGGCCTGGAAGAACTCGGGTGTTCAGCCCTGTTGGCTGTTTCCCCCTGCTGAACCTGAGCAGCCTATTTTAGTGACCCCTAGTGGAGTGCTGATGGGGAAAGGACAGCCTGGGTGTCCATTTTCTGTGGCTTATTGCCCAGGATGCTGGTAGAGAAGTGCTTAGGAACTTAATGGTAAATACAGGAGGAATCCAGTTGTCTCCATCACCTAAGGCTCGGCTAAATGACTTTCCGTCATTAGGGAGGGTGAGTGGGGTGGAGACCTTTAGCTGCTTCCGGAGCCCTTGGGGTGGGGGCAGGGGTGGGGTGCAGCTGCTGAGATATTTCCTGATGTCAGCTAAAGTCTGTTGCCCCTGCATGTCCCTGTGGGCATTAGGAGGACAGCATTCAGGAAGTCAGCTGAGTAATGGTTCTGCCGCTGCTTGTAATACTGACGTAAATGTGGAACTTGAGGAGCAGTGTATTGTACTTACACAATCCAGAAACCTCATGTTTGTGGGATCTGGATTCTAACAGCCTATCCCCTTAACCTACCCTCCTAAGATGCAGAACAGGTGACAGTGCACATCAGCGGTGTTATGACTGAACCATGAAGTTTTCAGTCACTTTTCTTAACCCCTGGCAACAGCATGCTCTGCGTTGTCTCCAAATTATTTTCAACTTTAATTTTGCTTTTAAGATAGGTAATATGTGCATATAGAACAAAAGTTTCTCTTCCCACCCTTGCCTGCCACCTCTCTGTTCCCTTTCCTGGAGACAACCAATATGACCAGCTTCTTATGGAACCTTTTGTGGGGAGGAGGGTTCCTCCAGATTTTCATTTAAAGGAATAGCCAAAGTGTTGACCTGCACTGTCTTTTAACCTTCCTCTGATAGCTCCACTGTGGTATTAATGAAGCTGCTGAAGGAAATAATGTCCTCTAATATCCCTTAAAGATCATAATTGCTAATTTAATTTAAACATAAAAGTTTCAATTCCTACAGTGGCAAGGATGGGGAGGAAAGTAGTAGAAGGTTTTAATTTTGGTAAAGATGATTCTAATTTTATTACTATCCCTTTAAAACAGTTTTACCAGCAAGTGGTAAAATTAATGGGCCAGAAAACTGCACAGGCCAGCCCTTTCTTTCTTAATCTAGGAGGATCTCCTCTGCATTTCAGGTGCTCCTGGCTTGACTGAGGTGATGGGCTTGTTTGGACACTTTTCATAAAATGCCTTTTCAGGAAAGCTAATTCCCATTGGGAATACCTGCCCTGTGGGCCACAGCCTGCGTTGGGTCTGCGAGGCTCATCCATTCCCCTGCAGGAGCAAGGGGAATAAATTTAGAAAACCTCACTAGAAACAGGATTTAAGTTCTCCCTTTATGCCATAACTATCCTCAGTGTCATGGGAAAGGGGAGAAAGTGACCTAGCCATAGTTTGGTGGGGCCCTGGCTGAGGCTTCAGTTCTCCAAAGGGTAGAAGAGCTGGACACTCCACCAGTCTGAGATGAGAAACGGTAGGTTCTCTTCCTTACAGTTTGAGATATCCTGAAGTTTGCTTGATTGTGTTCATTGACTGTTGGCGCACTTGAACTTACCTGAGTTTTTCCTAATGCTTCCCCCATCCTCCCTTCTCACCACCTTGCCTGGACACTAGTTTGCACAAGTAAGACCATTCGATGCTTCTTCTCTGCATGTTTTTTCACCCGCCATCTCGCATGCAATGCTCTGTCATTGTGCTATTGTTGTAACTAATCGGTTTTAAATTCTAATGAGTCCCTAAGCTGGGTCACTAAAGGCCTACTAGCCTTAATGTTTAAAGATCATTCATCAAGGTTTAGATGCACAACTAGGATCCATGAATCATTGCCTCTTTCCCTTGTGAGGTCTGCAGAATATAACTGTCCAATGGGAGATGGGATAGAAACACAGAGGCTAGGAATGCTTTTGGGCATGAGATTGGAGTTAGAAGGGGGTTGCCTTCCTCCTCCAACTGAAATGGAGTTAAGAGAAAAGGAATGACTTTTAGCCATTCTAGATGAGGGTGGATAATAAGAGGGGACTACCACAGTCCTCACTTCTTGGCTGTATATGGATTATCCCTAGAAAAAACTCATTTTAATATTCTCCTATGCTAAGCCTGTGGACAAACGTAAATGGGATAGGAAAGGGGTGTTAACACCATTTTAAGGTAGTAATTTGGGTCATTTGTGCTCTCATTAGTCTTTCTGTTTCTGTATTCCTCCTTTTGAAATGGATGGATAGTCAACTGTGTTCGTCCATCCTGGACAGTTTTATTCTACAGCATTACCCACCTTCCTTGTTATGGTTCTGAAGTCCCCCTGGCTACAGTATTGGCATAGAGCCTGAGCAGACTCAGAGCAGCAGTGGCCTTGTCCCCTTTCTGACCTAACACCTCAGGTCTTGCCTTCTGAGGCATAGCCACTTGGCTAAGCATCCCTGGGGAGCCTGGGAGTCCATTAGTGGGAGGGACCAGGAGTTATGTACCAGGTAAGCTGGTACGTGGGAGCAGAGCACTGAGAGTTTTCCAATCAAGGTGTCTGAGTATACTGTTTCCATGGTGACTATTACTACTACAGGTTACAACGAACGATTGGGCCTAAAATCTCATTATCCCCCAACCCACCCGTAGCACATGTGGAGGTGGTATATACTCTTAACAAACTAATATACCACTTTTTCCTTTCTTCGATTTTTCTACCCTTACCCATTCTGCTTGTTCCTCCTGATTTGAACTAGAACATACAGCTCATTGTCCTCCCTCTCCTTGAGTTTCTCCCAGGTGGGTTTTAGGATGGTGGGGCGAGTAAGAAAAGGGTGTAATGTGTGTGCCTTCCCTCACGTGTTGCATGTGTGCACCTGTGAGTGCTTACACCCATTCTGTGCAGAGACATCTCAGCCTAGACCACAGGACCTGGATCCACCTCTACTCTGTGCTGAAAGAGGAGTCTTGGCTTGGCTGGACCCTGGCATTGGACAGGGAATGGAGAGGTTGAGGTCCAGATGTATCTGGCTGAAATCTCAGGCAGGAAGCTCTTGCCTTTATCCCACCATGTGTTTTCATATACACATAACCATCTTCCCATCAGTAGAACTGTCTTTCAGCTGGATTTCCCCTCCTGGCTGTTCTTTACCAGTCTTGCCTGGAAGTGGGAACCTAATCTTACTTGGCTGGACTGAAATGAGGCCTCTTTGAAATTCTCTCACCTTTCCCCCTTGTCCACCCTCCAACCTCTGTGCAGCTTTTGAACAGAGAGTTGATGAAACACGTTCCCCATGTGGGCTGGTGGCTGTGAACCTTGGTGTCCTCTTAACTCTGTGCTAGCATATTATGGCAGAATTGCTCTGGATCCCTCAGAGCTGCAGGGTGAGTTATCGGCCACTCAAGATGGATATGAACACACCAGACTGCATGAGGGACCAGGATCTACCCTGCCTCTTCTCTTGCAGCAGGGAATGGAAATGAGGCTCAGTTAGGTACTGCATATTTTCTTTTTTTTTTAATGGTAATATTTTATTTTTCTTTTTATCAAGGTATTGTTAAACACTCTTATGAAGGTTTCACAAGAAAAACAATGTGGTTATTACATTCACCCTTATTATCAAGTACCCCTCATACCCCATTGCTGTCACTGATCAGTGTAGTAAGCGGTACTGTATATTGTCTTAAACTCAGCATCTGTACCTGACATGTTCTGTCGGCTTAACCTAAAGTCATATCAAACCCCACCATGAGCACCTTCACTGGGACTGTCTTATTCTGCAATCCAGATGTCTAATCCTTCAAAGCTAGAGAAACCAAGAGACAGGGAGACTTGAGCCATGAACTTGCCCTGAGAGTTATGATCCTCAGTCAGCTACAGGTCCTTAGAATCTCCATAGCCTCTGCTTCACATTCTTCCATTCCTGCAGCTTCCCCAGACCTCAGCCTTTCCCCACTTAACTCTTTCACACCACTAGCTTGTAGCATCTAACCACGAGTCCTTGATGATCCTTAATTGCTGCTGTTATGACAAAGCTTCATGACAGCCTTACCACGAGAGGGGAAAGGGTCCCAAGCTCTTCTTTCTGTTGGGGTGTGTTGTGACCCACTGCTGAAAATTCTTGGCCCCCATGTCTGCTAGGCTCCCTGGGCCCTGTGGTGCAGTTTGTCTGAAGACTGTCATGTGGTACATGTGACAATTTGCTAATAACAATTTTGTCTTTTTTTTCCCTCCCTTTCCCCCATTTCCCCACTCCCTTTCCTTTTAACTCTTTTGATTTTCTCACCTCTGGGGAAACCACCAGGAGCTGGTAAGAAGCCTGACCTTTCATCTGCTTTTTAACGGGGTGTGCTGTGATGGGACAGTTATTTTTCTGTCCTCTTGTCTCCACTAAATCTGTTCTCTCTCTATGCAGTCCCACCCCTAGCTGACAACCTTTTCCCATCTCACAAATCACTGTAATGACAGCACCCCCACCCTCCCACCCCGAGATCTCTGAGACATGGGCAGAGTAGGTACCAGTGGAAGACCACCCGAGTTTCCAGGGCCCCAGCCTAAGAGAGGCTCTGAGAGGATGCCAGTGTCAGCGCCCTCCTGACCCGGACACACTCTTACAGCATGGATAGTGACATGGAAGTGCCATCCTGCCCTGTGACTGTCCAGAACATCTGAGACGCATGTTCTGTGTGTTGACCCTTTTTTACTTCACCCCTTCCCTATTTAAGAAAGTTAATAGCGAAGTAGGTTCTCATATGCGCAGTGCCTGGCCCATAATAAGGGCTTAACAAATGGTAGCTATGATTGACTTTTTTTCCTCTTAGTCTGTGGGAAGAGGCTCTGCTTCCCATGCCTCTTTTAGGGGGATTTTTGTTACAGATTTCTGCTGCTTTGGCCTTGATTAGGGTACTCATGGGGAGGAGTGGCTTATTCTTGAGTGTGAACTATGAGTGGCTGTCTTTCCTGAACTTGAGTCTTCAGACAAACCCTTTAGAGAGGCCAGAGACCACAGGAGCTCTTTGGCCATACCATTCTAGAGAAGGTAAAAGAGATAGAAGTTTAGGACTCAACTGTCCTTCCCCCAGGCATTTGAATATGGGACATTGAGCCCTTTTTCCCTGTAATCTTCAGCCCTTGTCTCTACACAGCACTTCCCTGAAGAAGAGGCAAAAATCAAAGTTAGTATTTTCTCCTCATCCCTTATTTTAAAAGCTGCCACTTATACTGGTTCCTTCTGTAATAGCAGACCAGAGATAAAGGATGGAACTTCTGTCTACTGCTCTTTCTCCATGATTTCCCTTCACTCTCCACCACAGGCAGAGATTCTTGGTCCTGGCTGTATATTAGGATCATTTGGGTAGCTTTTAAACTGGCCTGCTTCCCTGGCCCTAACTCAGAGCAATTAAGTCAGAATCTACCGAGGTGAGCCCAGGCATCTTTTTTTCCTTTTTACATTTTCTAAGTGGTTCTGTTGTACAGCCAGGGTTGCAGAGAACCATTGTTCTAGTTAGAGGAAAGAAGACTCACTTTGCCTTTCTCCTGTAGAAGATAGCAGTGTCATCCCCAACAGAAAAAGACCCCTGGGTCTCCTTTCCCCTTTCTGCATTAGACAGAGCTGTCAGACGGCTGACAGTTGAAGGAGACACGCAGTCTGGAGTGTGCAATCTTGCGTAGTTACTGGAATCTGAACAGTCAGTAGATACCCAGTAAGAAGGGAACCTCTCTGCTTCAATTTCTAGGGTAAAATATCCCTTTCTTTGCCATGGTCCCCATGTATGGAAGAGCTTCAGTGCTTGAAACGGGAGAGGGGACTGGTGCCACAGCCTCTGTGAGAAGATGCGGGCTGCCTCCATTTCAGGACTTAACACATGGCCCTTGCACATGGGTGCTTGTGGGAAGTAGATACTGCTTACACTTGCTGCTCCTAAGGTGACCCTTAAAAAATAATAGAGTAAGCCCTTGCCTCTTCTCTCTATCTAGCTCCTGAATTCCCTGGCCTCTTGGCAGCCTGGAAACAGGGCTCCTGGTCAGACCCTCTGCCAACCTGCCTTTTGTATCTAAGAGCTGGTGTCTTCCCTTTGATGGCATATTAAAGTCCTAATATGCACCCTTAGAGTTGGTAGCTTGACTCTCTGCCAACCTTGCCCTTTCCCTTCAGTAAAGATGGGAGGTTAGCTTGAAAATAGACTTCCTTAGCAGCAAGGAAATTGACTTTTGGGAGGGGGAGGTAAAAGAGGTCAGGCTAGTTTCTTGCCTTGAGTGCGTGGTGTGTGTGCCAGATAACTGGGAGGGCCTGGTTGGATGAGGTGGGGGCATGAAGAGGCTTATGTACACAGTGGGTGGGGAGGTTATGCTACCTCTGTTCCCAGTTGAATAAGGGTGTTGGTATTTATACAACTGAGACTTCCAATTTACCAGGAAGCTTCCGTTTCCTAGGTTGAGCCTTGGTCGGCAGCTTGGAATGGAGCCGCCCTTCTTTCCCCTTGGGAAAGTAGGTCCCAGTCTCCTAATGCTTTGGGGATTTTGTGGGGTTGGGGAAGTTCTAGGGCGGGAATGAGTCTGCCCCTGGCCTGAACTACCTATTCCTGCAGGAAGAACTGACGAGCACAAGTGTGGAGCACATCATTGTCAATCCTAATGCTGCCTATGACAAGTTCAAAGACAAGAGAGTGGGGACAAAGGGACTTGGTGAGACTGGGCTGGGCATTGGGTGGGTGAAGCCTGTCCTCGGGCCTTAGTGACTTTTGTTTTCGGGAAAGGGTCCCTCGTGGAGATTTCTTGTGGAAACCCTAGAGTCACTTGTGACCACGACTGCCCTGGATCTAGATCAGGCCCTCAATTCCATCTTCTTTTCTTGACAGATTTCTCAGATCGTATTGGAAAAACCAAGAGGACAGGATATGAATCTGGAGAATATGAGATGGTTTGTTGTGTGTGTGTATTGATGGGAGTGTACAGTGATCCTGTCTAGCAGGCATTCAGGAAGGAGATCAAGGGACACATTTCGGATTCTGAGTTTCTCTTAATTGGGGTTCCTGAGGAGTCCAGCAGGATTCTGTTGAGGATGCTGTGTCCCCCTGCAGTTTGCTTTGCAGCACCTCCAGGCCTCCAGCTTTCTCTGTTTCTTCTGGACTAGGGTATTGTGGATTCTGAGTTGGATATGGTACCCTTATAACTTAGGCCCAGGGTTTGGATAAATTCACAAGGATCCCTGTACCAGGAGGTGTAACCTGACTGTCTGTGCTTGCTCTCTAGCTTGGAGAGGGCTTGGGAGTGAAGGAGACACCCCAGCAGAAGTACCAGCGACTACTGCATGAGGTTCAGGAGCTGACGAGTGAAGTTGAAAAGATCAAGGTAACTATCAGCTCTCCCCCCAGCATCACAGAGGAGGGCCTCCCAGCAGGAAGAGAAAGATTCTCTATGCTCCTGGATAAGGGAGCTGAGTTTTCAGAGTTCAGGAAGATACAGGAATCTACATTCAGTGTTATAAGTGGGTAAGAACCATCCCAGTGACTTCAGCCACAGCTATCCTTATGGGTCTTTTTTTTTTTAAATTGAAATATGGTTGATATACAGTATCACATTGGTTTCAGGTACACAACATAGTGATTTGACGATTATCTATGTTATTAAATGCTCACCACGGTAAGTGTAGTTACCACTTATCAACCCAATTACAGTGTAGTTGACTGTATCCTTTGCTGTACTTTCATCCTTGTGACTTACTTATATTATAATTGGAATTTTGTGCCTCTTCTTTTTCCCCTTCACTTAACTTCCTCCCTACTGCAGCCACCAGTCTCTTGTCTCTGATTATTTGTTTTCTTTGTCATTTGTTTTTTCAGATTCCACAAATAAGTGAAATCATGGTATTTGTCATTCTCTGGCTGGCTTATTTCACTGAGCATAATACCCCTTAGGTCCATCCATGTTGTTACAAATGGCAAGAATTATTCTTCTTTATGGCTGAGTAATGTTCTATTGTATATATGTACCACATCATCTTTATCCATTCATCTATCAGTGAATACTTAGGTTGCTTCCATATCTTGGTTATTGTAAATAATGTGGCAGTTAACATAGGGGTGCATACATATATCTCTTCAAATCATTGATTTAGTTTTCTCTGGGTAAATTCCTTGAAATGGAATTACTGGGTTGTATGGCATATCTATTTTTAGTTTTCAAGTAACCTCCCTACTGCTTTCCACAGTGGCTGCACCAATTTACGTTTCCACTAGTAGTGTAGGAGGGTTCCCCTTTCTCCACATTCTCACCAGTACTTGCTATTTCTTGTCTTTAGGGTAGCAGCCATCCTAACTGGTGTGAGGTGATACCTCACTGTGGTTTTGATTTGCATTTCCCTGTTGATTAGCAATGTGCGGCATCTTTTCTTGTGCCTGTTGGCATCCTTAAGGGCCTTGGTCCATTTTTTTTTCCTTGATATCACTCCTCCCACCCTCACTATTTTTTCTCATACCAGACAACAGTGAAGGAGTCAGCGACTGAGGAGAAGCTGACCCCTGTGGTGCTGGCTAAACAGCTGGCAGCCCTGAAGCAGCAGTTGGTCGCCTCCCACCTGGAGAAGCTGTTGGGACCAGATGCAGCAGTCAACCTTACTGACCCTGATGGAGCTCTGGCTAAGTGGGTGCTTTACTTTGTTGGGAAATGATTGCTGATTGGAGTATAGAGGGACTCATCCAGGTACTGACCAGATTACTGAGGGCAGAGGTGGCCTGGCTGGTCCTTAATTGCTGACTTTAAGGCAGAAATGAGAGAGTGACTAGGCTGGCCCACATAACATGTCATGATATTATTACTTGGTCTCCTGACCTAGGCGCCTGCTGCTGCAGCTGGAAGCAACAAAAAACAGCAAAGGGGCTGGTTCACGAGGAAAGATCACCACCAGTGAGGCCTCTCCAGAGAGCAGCCTTGTCACTTATGAACTACATTCTCGGCCTGAACAGGACAAATTCTCTCAAGCTGCCAAAGTATGTATGTAGTGCTGGTTTTAGGGCTGGGGTAAAGACTTCCCTGCTTCCCTCATCCACCTACTTTCAGTTAAGACTTTAAGATTGTGACTAGGGGTGTGTTCAGGGAAAGGAGCCCCTGGCAGAGTGGAGAGGCAGTGGGAGGGGAGTGGCAAGCAGAAAGCAGACAGGGAGGCACAAGATGCCGCTCCCTCTGCAGCTGCAGGGAGGCGTGGCTGGCTACCTTCTTCCTCCTGCTAGGTCGCAGAGCTTGAGAAACGCCTGACGGAGCTGGAAGCCACTGTACGCTGTGATCAGGATGGTCAGGTCAGGTCCCGTCTTTTGCCCAGGATAACCCTCAGACCCTGCACTAGGGCCCCAGGTCCACGGCATGCCACAGAATTGGGAGGAGTCAGGGAGGGGCTTTAGTTATACTGTCAGCCCAGAGGTTGCCAGCTAGAAGCAGAAAGGAAGAGAGAAGGCAGTAATCACATGGATACAAGAACCATGATTTCTTCCTTCCTTTTCCCCTCCAGAATCCCCTTTCTGCAGGTCTGCAAGGCACCTGTCTTATGGTGAGTGTGAAAGGAACTGGAGTGTCTGAATGACAGAGGGCCTATTAGGATTAGGTTTGCTTGGAGAATGGTTTTGGGGTTTAGCTATGTATTACCTCCAGAGGATATGGGGTGGTCTCTTCTTAGTCTGATCCTTTGCCCCTTAATTCCGATTCACCACTCCCCACCCCCCACCCCCAGGAGACTGTGGAACTGTTGCAGGCAAAGGTGAGCGCCCTGGACCTTGCAGTTTTGGACCAAGTGGAGGCTCGGCTGCAGGTAACAAATGGAGGGCAAATTGAATTATGGGTAGCTTGAGACTTTGGGAGCCCTGGATACTCTATCATCCTTAAAACCTGTGCTTTCAGAGTGTCCTGGGAAAGGTGAATGAGATTGCTAAGCATAAAACATCTGTGGAGGATGCGGATACACAAAGCAAGGTTAGGAAGACAACTTTCCTCCACCTCCATATCCTTTCCTGCTCCCGTATGTTTTCTGAGTCATCCTAGTGGGAACACCTAGGCATGAGAGCACGAACCTCAGGTCCTATATTCATAAGCTCTTCGCAGCTAAGACGGTCAGGGCAGTGCTTCACCCTTGCCCCACCCTAGTGAAGTAGTGTGTACTTACCTGAAGGTTTGGCCGTTCCCTCTGGGCCCTGTTTTGTCCCTCCAGGTGAACCAGCTGTATGAAACCATACAGCGTTGGAGCCCCATCGCCTCCACCCTTCCTCATCTGGTGCAGAGACTCGTCACCATCAAGCAGCTGCATGAGCAAGGTGGGAGGCCAGCTGCCAAGGGTGCTGAGAGGAACTGTGCAACTGCTGTTCCCTTCCCTGGTCTTGGGCTCTGACATGGCCTGTACCTTTTACCTTTTTCTGTAGCCATGCAGTTTGGTCAGCTGCTGTCACACTTGGATGCCACCCAGCAGATGATTGCTAGTTCCCTCAAGGACAACACCAGCCTCTTGACCCAGGTGTGTGCCCTTTATTGGTCTGCTGCCTCCCTGCTCTCACACACACACACTGGGTGCTCCAACTCTCTCACAGGTGCTGCCATAGGCCACTCAGTAGCACAGGTTGTGGCCGGGGCTTGGTCTGAATCTCCATACTATTTTACAACGGTACGGGACCTCTGACAATTTATTTAACCTGTGAACTTCCAAGTTACCATCTGGAAACTTATGCCTACCTCAGAGCTGTGGACTGGGTGACATGATATGGGTCAATCAGTTCAGTAAACATCAGTTTTCCCTATAAAACCTGCCAAGGGTAACGCTTACCTCTACCCCCCCCAAACCCTCATCCCAATGCTTTTATATCCAGAGTATAAGCTTTACCCTTCCTGGACCTTCATCCCAATGCTTGTGTATCCAGAGCTTAAGTTTTACCCTCCATGGACCCTCATCCAAATGCTTCTGTATCCAGAGCATGGTAACCACACTGGGAAGAATATGGGCTTTAAAATGAGCAGCCAGGCTCCATCCTGGTTCTGACACTGGACAGCAGGCTCATCTTCTTTCTTCATTCTCCTAAGAGTGCCCAGCACATAGTGGGTCCTTGGCTTCCACTGGAGGCAGTTCGCAGTGTTGGGGGGAGAATTAAAAGTTGAGAGACCAGCACCACAGGCCCATCAAGATATGAAACTGTAAAGTACATAGTGACTATGTTCTTTCTCTAGAGCAGTGTTCTAACATTTTGAGCCAGTGAAACCCTCGTTTCAACAAAATCAACAACCTGCTCCTTGTTACATAACAGATCAAAGAACAGTATTGGTTGAAGTCAGGATGGAATTCTTCAGACTCCTGCCTGCTTGGCCGAGCCTTAGCTAGGTCGTAATCCAGGGGTAGTTAGAAGACCACTGTAACCTCCCCACTGTGGGGCCCATAGCTGTGCTTCCGTGTCTCACTTGTCTTCTCTGAGAGAATTTCTTCAGGTCCTCATCCAGGTAAGCACCTGGACCTGACAAAGAGTAAGACTTTGCTGTCACTTTCTAGGTGCAGACAACCATGTGTGAAAACCTGTCCACAGTAGAGGGGAATTTTGCTAACATTAATGGACGGATGAAGCAGCTGGGAAAGTGAGCGCCTCTGGGAGATGGCGAATGGGGGTAATGCCTACCCCTTTGAACTGTTAACAGCTTAATAGGGTTTCCCCTTAATTATAACTCTTGCATCCCCGTCCCATTTGACACGGGGGCAAGGGGTTCTTCTTGCATGTGGGGTTTACAGCCTTCCTCTGATGAATACAGAGCGGTAGCTAGGGGACATCAGATGGTGGTCTCCCCTTAAGCCCCAGGGATGAGGACGTGGGCTGGCCCATGCCAGCTCCTATCCAGTACTGCTTAGCCTGGTATGGTGAAGGATTGGGTCCTATTCTCCAGCACAGCTTCTGTGGCTGGTGGTGATACTGTAAGTTTCTAACCATTAAATGCTATTGTACTCTGTGTGGCCTCTGCTGTATTTCCTGGGGAAGAGGCAGCCCTCAGAGACAGACATTCACAGCATAACAGGCAGTCTTAAGCCAGTCTCTGCTACAAGAGGATTTAAATTACAATCTGTTCTTAGCAAAGAACTAAGGAAAAAATGAGTACAGAGTCAGAGCCAGAGTTTCAAAATATTCTCATCTGTTAAATTAAGAGTGTCTCCCATAGAAAAGCAGTGGAGGCCCCACAGGGCGAGTACAAAACAGAATTAAAACTCCCAAGGGTCTTGTCTTTACAAAAGAAAAGGCAGGAGGCAGCCCCTGGACAGCCGGGCATGCTGGCCGCTCCGGTTGGACCACGGTGCATAATCCTCAGTCGCGTCATCACAACGTCTCTGAGCATTCCGATGGGGGCAGGGGCAGTGTAGTGTGTGTGGGAGGAGAGGCCCAGAGGGCTCTCTTTGCCCCCTTACCCCCTTGTAATATCCCAGAGGAAAGTAGAGGGAGGCTGGCTACACCTTGAAATGAGGCTATGTGTTTCAAACCTGGGGACGGGAAAGAGGGGATCTGTGCTTTGAGCAACCTGAGCCAGAGGCAGAGGGGTGTTGGAGGTGAGGGGAGGATACATGGTGTTTATTGCTTTGTACCTTTCACTGGGAAGGAGGGCAGCAGCCAACAGTAGCTCACAGGTTTGTAAACTGAGCCTGCTGGCTTCAAGAAGGGAGGCAATGAAGTCGAATTAAATATAAAAGTCATTTGTGCAAAAATAACTTAAACAAATAAAGACCTGGGGAAGAGGGTGTTCCCCTTAGCCTGGTGAGAGGGCCACATACCACCCCCCCCAGGCCTTTTCAGTGACATGGCTTTGGGGGTGAGCTTCCCTGCCCCCTGCAATGGCTCAGGGCGGGACTTGTAGGGGAAGGGGTTGCGTTTGTGCTCTGAGTGGGGGAGTAGTGCCCCCACCCACTGTCCACAGGTGCAGGTGGCTGGCAGGGGCTCCCAAGGCTCAGCACTCAGCTCTCCCCAATCAGGGTCAGATCCAGCTCCAGGTATGGCTGCTATGGGGCCAGTTTCCTCCTCTTGTTTTTGGCAGGACGGCCAGGGCGGGCCCGGGGAGGCAGAGGGACAGCCGCCTGTACGAGGGGAAGTTGAAAGAAGTGATCAAACAGCTAGGTATCAGGAAATTTTTTATTTTCTCCCCACTCCTCCTAATCCTCTTTTCCTCCTGCCTCACCCCATGTAACGCCCTCCACCCACCCACAGACACACACTTACTCGGGACGTGGGGCTGGGGTCCAAGGTAACATCCTGGCGGGAGCTATTGCTGTTCCGGGTAGGGCTGCAATAAGGGGCACAGATGATCAGCAATACCTCCCCAAGCACCAGGTGCATTTCAGAGTTTACGGGGGAAACTTTCTACATGTGGACAGTAAAGATATAATATCCTTATTCATGATCAAGTAAGTATCTGCCTTTTTGAAAATCAAGCCACTCTTTAGACGTTTCTAAAAGCCCAACAGCCAGGAAAGGCCAGGATTGTAGTGGGCCCAACACTCACTTGTATTTTCTCCTCCGGCCACGGCGAGACTTTCTGACTACCCCAGAGGGTGCCTGGGAAGAGGTGGACTGTGTGTGTAGGAACAGTGAGGAGGCACCATGGCCCCAAGCCTTTCCTCAGAGCCCATCAGCCCAGCCCTTCATTACCCTGCACTCACCTTAAGGTCTTCAGAATGGGGCCCTGGAGGGGATGGATCCTTGGGCTCAGCACCCCCTTCAGCCAGCTCCCCATTATGCTGCCAGTGGTGGGTCCTTCTTGGGGACCGTTCCATTTGTCCATTGAACCCACCACGTGCCCCCCACTTGAGGGCCAGTCGGCCAGGCTCCCGCCGGCTGCCAGGCTTTCGGCCCCGGCCTGGCCTGGCCTCACCATTAATGCCCCTAAGTCCCCCTCCTCCCCTCCGGCCCCGTTTCCCTGACCCCCTCCCAGTGAGCAGCTCAGGGACTGGGGGGTCGGGAGAACTGTGGGGTGGGGCTAAGGCACTGAGGGGAGGCCGGGCAGGCTCCGGTTCAAGGGCTGAGGTGGGGCTCTCAGGGGGCAGACATGGGGCTCCCGGCTGCTCTGGAGGGATCTGTAGGCAAAACACAAAATTTTACTCTAAAGTACATTCCCCCTACTACTGTAACTCAGAAAACCTATTTCCAGGTTGGGAAAAATTTCTCTACCTGACATAACACTCCCCCATACCCTCACCTGGAGACTCTGTAGCAGGCAGGCTAGAGGACTAGAAGCTTCTGAGAGCGGTGGAGGGGCTCCCCCCCCAGGGAGGAGCTGCAGCCCCAACTGGCCAGAGAGAAGAGGGCCAGGAGGCTGCAATAGACTGGGGAGGGTTCCAGGGCTGCTGGTCAGCGAAGACAGGTCACCTGTTAAGGAAATTATAACATCAGAGTCTCCCTAGGTAAACCAGTTAGGCCAGGCAGACCCCCATTCTCAGGCTCTACCCAGTGGCCAAAGACTTTCTTCCCCTATTCATCCAGCCTCTACTCCCAATTTTTACTGCTTCCTTCCTTCTCTTTCACACCAGAGTCTTCCCTCAGACTCACCCAGCAGGCTGGCACTCAGCAGAGGGCTAAGGAGTTGGGGAGGTCTCCCTGAGTTGGAGGGGGCCTTGCCCAGAGAGGAGGCCCCCGGGTCAGTAGTTGCCATGGTAACACTGGAGGTAGGTGGTCCAGGTTGGGGGGCACTCAGGACACAGGGCTAAGGAGAAAACATGGTTGTAACACATGTGTAATCAGTAAATTTATAGTAGTTACACATACACACTCATTGAAGCCTCACATGAAGTAGGCCATGCTTATTAAATACAGACCAAGTTCTTACAGCCATCCTACCCCCAGCCAAGAACTAAGCCCTCCCCAAAGGCCCTGAGGAAGAGCTCAGGCATGAAACTAAGCCTTTGATTCCCAGCTCCCATCTCTGATTCTACCTCTTGTCTGTCCCACCCACTCATCCCTATCCTCACCTGGGTGGGTGTCCCCGAGGGGGGATCCAGGCTGGCAGCCAGCAGCGCAGAATTTAAAGCTATGAGGGTGGGGGGCGCTGAGAGTGGGGGGAACAGTAGTGGGGGCAGGTCTCCCAAACCTGAAAATGTCTCCCCACTTGGACCCCCAGCACCCTCTACAGATCCTTCCCCATCTCCAGCTGTGGGGCCCAGGGCCAGCAGGGGCAGGAAAGAGGCAAGGAGGTTGCTGGGAGGTGCAGAAGGGGGTGGAAGAAGGTCTGAGGCAGATGGTGGAAGCAGAGAAGCCACCAGAAGCGAAGGCCCTTCGGGCTCGCCTGGGGCTAGAGGAGGGCCAGGTCCCCCTGGTAGGGGTAGCAGGGGCTCAGGAGGAGGCTGTCCCCCTCCCCCAGCCAGCACACCAAATAAACTGTGGCTGAGCAATGGAGAAGGTGGTGGCTGTCCCAGACTCAGAGGGAGAGGCAAGGGCCCTAGCATCCCTGGGAACCCGGCTCCACTCAGTGCCAAGCCCTGCTCAGGGCTGGGAAAAGGGAAAGCCTCCCCACCAGCTAGGGGAGGCAGAGGGCAGGCTGGGCCAACCCCCATCCCAAGCCCTTCAGATGGGCTTTGAAGCACAGGGCTTGGTACTAGGGGGGCTTTAGAGGCAGCTGGTGGGGCAGGGGCACCTGCAAAGGAAAAAGAGATTCAGCTTAAGAAAGACCCTTTCTACCTGTGTTCAAAGAACCCAACCTCCCTGCCCCCAACCCAGGAAATCACCCAGTGCAGTTAGTCCTTTATCTCCCCTAGATGCCTTGACTGCCTCTTCCCACCGCAGCAAGGAAGGGCTCTAGCACACTTACATACCTGGCACACTGCTGAGGCTGCCACTGGTAGTCCCAGGCAGGGGGGCAGGGATGGGGTGCCTGGGCTGGGGAGGGCTCCCTGAGGAGAGGGCTGGAGGAGGAAGGTGTGCATCTGACCCCAAAAGGTTAAAGCTTCCATCAGAGTGGGAAGGGCCAGGGATGGTGAGTCCCAGCAGGGACAGAACAGAAGGGAGAATTGGTTGGGATGGCTCAGGGAGTGGAAAGGGCTGGGGGGCAGGAGTAGGGGCCCGAGGACATCTTCGTCTAGGGGCTTGAGGGCCTCCCCCTTCTAGTAATCGCAATACAGTCGGGGGCCGGCGGGGGCGACGCTGAGAGGGTCGGGGAGATGAGTGGGAAGCTGAGGGCACCTGGGCACGGGGCCTTCGACCCTGTAAAGTGCTGGGAGCGGGGAGCAGGGGATGCTGTGCCTTGGCTGCTGCAGAGAGGAGGCTGCTGGCAAGGAAGGGGGGTGCCCCAGGCCCCTCCACTGTGGGGGCCCCTCCCAGGGGTCCCAGGACCAGGGGCAGGTGCATAGTGGCTGAAGACACTGGTGGCTGAGTGACAGGACCAGGTGGGCGAGGGGGACCAGGGAGATTATTGCTTGGGGGCAGAGGAGGGGGTGTTAAGGCATCACTACAGTGGAAGAGAGGAGGATCTGATGGTGGTGAGGAGGAGGCACAGGGTGCTGGAGGAGAGCCCAGGCTAGGGGAAACCAGGCTGGATCGGAGGGCAGCTCCCCAGTTGTAAGAGGGGGCATTGAGGCTGACAGCAGGTGGAGGAGGTGGAGCTGGGGAGGGGGCATTGCCCCTTGGGAGGAAACAGGGGCCACTGCTGCCTCCGGAGGGGACTGGGTCAGGAAGCCTTGGCAGTGGGAAGAGCCCCCCAGGGCCTGCTAGAGGTGGGAAAGCCTGTGGAACTGAGGGTGGTTCCCGGGGAAGGGAGCCAGGACCCCCATTAAGTGGAGTTGTAGGAGGGACTCGACAGGGAAGATGGGCAGAGGGGGGCCCTGGGGACACAGTGTGGAACACTTGGGGGCTTGCTCCCTCTCCTGTAATAAATGAGAAATGAAGGATCAACCTATGGTTCTCTCCTCAAATCTGTCTTCTGTCCCATCTTCCATAAATTCCCAACCTCCCTGTGCAGCTCTCCCCTCCCCACCGTTC